ATTGAATTATAGAAATATTGGGATTTTTATCCATTTCTGTTTATAACTGAGCTATAGATATAACATTCTTCTGTCACATAATTCCTCTCTTTATACTGTGTGAAAATAACCCTTCATTGTAGAACAGGACACATTTTCTTCCCTAAATGGACAAGAAATACAATTCTCATATGCAAAGAAGGCCGCCAATAGGAGAGGAGGTGGATGGGGAGCAGGTGTTCTGTACTCAATAACCATGTAAACAACAGAAGATATGTCAAAAATACAGAAAGCTACATTAAAGTCTTTGTATGAATTATGTATAACAAAAAATAATATTGCATATAAGTAACATAAAAGCAACGTCTCTCCATGTAGATAATCAGTATCCTTTATTGTTTATAAACTTTGTTTATCTGTAAGCTTTATAAACCCATAAGGGCAAAATACATATATAAATAATGTATAAATCCATAAGGGAAAGAAACATTGAATAATTATATTTTGTTACTGGTTCACTTCAAGCTTATTGCCAGGACAGGACACTTTCCGTCATTTAAAATATAATACTCTAATGCTGTCAGAAAAATAACAACAATAATAATAAAAGCTGTGGTAGTTTTTACTACATTTTTTTTTCTTTTAAGAAAAGGAAAGGAAAAGAAAGAAAATTATGATAGGGCTTCGCACTACAGTGGCTAATAAGTGGGATAATGTAAAAATTGTGGCGAGGAGTTTCTGCATGTTAGATCCAGCTGTGCCACTAATTTTATCACTTTGAAAAAATTCCATGCACAGTTATGCTCATGCTTGTGCTTAGCAACATCTGGACATAGCAAGTAGACATGTTGATTTCCATAACTTTCCAGAAATGAGTAAAGCAATACTGGAAGTAAATTATAGTAATGGGATTCAATCTGCGCTCTTTCTGTCTGAGTCAAATTTGGTGTTGGTAGGTGATCTTGCACGGAGCAACAGAGCAACGTGTTGTTAAAAAAACCGTAATTCTCTTTCTGTTCTTTATTTTTCCACATTTAAAAATGAGCTTTGTATATCCTCTACATGAAAATGGCTTCTTAGCTAGTTTATGTATCATATAGACTGAAATTTGGATCCCAAAGTGGACTGTACAAAATCTGGAGACTGTAACTGAAAGTTAAAAGGTGATAGTCTTAACACTGGATGAATTTCAACCTTAAACCAAAATTTTCAAAAATAGTAACCTCACAAGTCAGACTCCTGAAACTCTCAATTCTTGTCTGAAGTTGGTGTATCCATGCAAATACTTCTGTGTTCTGTAGGCTTTGGTTCACTGACAAAGTCCTAAATAGATGACCTAATTTTTCAAATAGAAAAGTCTCTCTGGCATTAAGTGAACCTGGAAGTGCTCACCACTTTGGAAAAACAGGTCACACAGCAATTTAATATTCACTCAAGAGTTTCATTCCAGGCTTGTTTTTTTTTAAATATTCATCATGTTAGTCTTAATACATACGGGCCCAAAGAGTGATGTACGCATTGTAGTGTGAAATGCAGTCAACATATAAATTAGTAAGTACTGGACAAACCAAGTTCATTTCTGAAACAACTGATCTATGGAGCTGCCCGGGCAGATGTTTTTCAGGGAAGTCAGCGTGGGTTATCAAAGAGAGAAAAAATGGCTTCTTCCTTCAATTTGACATTTCCTTGCCTTTTAACAAGAGGATAAGACTTTTGACTTCTCACATCTTGCTAATATTCTTGAGTGAAATTTGTTAAGATGGCCCTATCTTACTGATCTATTGAAAGAAGACGTTAAGAGATGATTACATGCACACAAGGCTGGATAAATCAGCTGGATGAATAACATTTATCGATTTGGGCTTTAAATATTTTCAAACCACAGATGAGGATAGCGGGTCATATATAACAGCACTTTGGACTGATAGAGTATTACTTTGCATAAATATTTGCTAATTAATTTTTAAATATGCAGTAGGTATTTTGCACAGGTAATGGTTTGTTACCAAGAACATATGAATATTAATTATATTCTCAAATCTTGGTGGAGATAGTAAGTGCTAAGTGTTATCAATTTTTTTTTTCTTTTATATTTAAAACTGCTGCAGTTGCACTAATCCTTCAGTACATTGTGAGTATTTCAACAGTGCTCATGTCTGACGTAACCTAAATCAACAATCATTTCAATACTTATTTGTTTTTACGCAGTATAGATTATAATTAATCATGCCTTTTGCTGGGGTTGAAAGGAGAACTAGAATTGACCTCGAAACTCTTGTCAGGTCTCTTAAGCTTTAGCTTTTCACTGAGACTCTTGTCAGTCTTACTTATAAATTGAACTCTTTGGCATGACGTAAGCCTTAAATGTAAATGATTGTGGTTCCACTGACTTCAGTGAATGAACATCCTTTGTTCAAGTTAAGTGTGTCCCTTCTATCGTTCTGCCGTCTTTCTTTGTCTTAAGAGTTCATTCCTGCACAGAATAGACTTGCCCAGAGAAGCTGTGGGTGCCCCATTCCTGGCAGCATTCAAGCCCAGGCTGAATGGGGCCCTGAGCAGATGATCTGGTGGGTCGCAGCCCTGCTTGTGGCAGAGGGAATTGGAGCTCGATGTTCTATAAGATTCCATCCTAAGCCATTCTATGATTCTTTTGTTTTCTGTATTTTTTGTCTTGTCTATCTCTAGAACTTTATCCTGTTTCTTACATTCCTCTGGGCCTGATCATCACTACTCAAAAATCCAAGATTTGAAGAAACAAATGCGTGGTTCCCTCAACCAGTCTTTTACTGATGAATTTCTTCACAGTTGGAGTTCAAACAATCACTCACTAAGAACAAGGTTCACCAGAAATCATTGCTAGTTTGGCCCTAGAAGTCATTAACTTGTTTTCCATGTGGATATGAAAGTGTAATTTATTTCTCTCTTTCACATGAATAACTGTTCTGGCATTTCTGTTGTATTCTGTTGTATTTGACTATGCAGCACTAAAACACTGCAGAAGCTGCAGTTCTGTAATCATATTATAAAATCAGTGTGTTTGAGATGCAGTTTCAACTTTTGTTCTTCTTTTTACATGTTAGTGGTATCTTCAGTGGAATATCAGAATATAGGTACTTGGAGCATAGAGGGTCTAAGACTACAAGGAAATGTAAATCATTTATCAAATGGCTACTATGAAGCAGTAATCTGAATTTATAAGATGAGAAATAATATAAAAATAATTGTATAATATATAACGCCAGAACACAACAGTAGTAGAGAACCCAATGAAAACAAGCAATACTTTTAGTTTTATGTAAGCAGGCTACTGACTGTTCATATTGCCAAGAGGTAATAGAAGAATTTTTGTAATAAACTCAGTATTATGAACTGGGGATGTCAGGTGTGAAAGGACTGGGTATATTAATCAATCAAAGTATGACTTTGAGTTATGAACTTGTCATGTGGATATGAAAAAGGAAATTCTAATCATAGACCGCATCAGGCAATGAATTACCACCTTTATATTGCTGAAATCTCATTAGAAATTCTGTATTAACTTTATTCAGCCTTATTTCAGAGGGATGAATTCTCACTGGAGCAGGTGCAGAAAAAGGGGTTTTAACATAACTAGCAAATGAGAATCTACCTCAGGAGTCAGAAACTGAGTATTATAATTAAGCAGCTGCTGGGAGTAAATATGCTTGCTGTCCCTAAATAGATGCAGAATACAAACATTGAAGTGCATGTGATTGAACAAAAGTTGCAAAAGCAAAAATAAATTTTAATTTTAAAGTAAAAGGATATGAATGGGTTGTGAAAAGGGCAAAATTTGTCTGCTGAGTAATATTCATTAGGAGTTGTGGGAAAACTATGAGGAAATGGCTTGCATTCCCCTATGGCTAATTGCAAAGATGAGAGTTAATCCATGGAGATCCACTTCAGTTTTTTGTGGTCTTCTCCCTGCTGTGAAAGACCGCTTAAGCCATTGATTTACGCAAACAGAAAAACATGCTGAGGCAGATTATTTAGTGTCCTTACCATAACAGTGAAGCACAGGTACTGTGTGCACATTTTTGATTTTATGCCATATTGCAAAACCAGTAAAGCAAAGGTATGTATCCAATAATGTTTAGCTTTAGTGGTGTCTGTCTATTATTATGCATTAAAGCATATGTGAGACCTTTTATATTGCTTTAGAACTAAACCAAATAAAAATAAAAAGTACAAGTTAAAGCAGGCCTGTGTCTTAATCTCTTGTATTTGTTGAGGCCTAACAAGATGTGTTTTTGTTGACTTTCATTATAAAAGATGCTGCTGAAGGAATGATAGCCAACTTTCTCACATAGTTCTTTCAAGAACAGACCTGCTTATGATACCAGCTAAAATCTTTAGTCCTTAATATCTTAATGAAAACTTGGATGATGTATACAGTGTCAGAACAATAATTTCTCTAACACTAATCCATCTGAATCATCGGGACATGCCGTACACAAACTGCAAGCACACAGTGTGAGTTCAGATCCGATGCGTCATGTCAGGGTGGGCAGTTATCACCCAGCTAATAGGTCTGCTGTGTGCCATTCATCCTGATGGTTAGTCTCAGGATATTATCGCCAAATACTATATCTGTAGCTACACTTCCTCTCCAAAAACTACTTCCAGCTTCACAGCCTCCAGTCTTGCATTTATGAATGGGAGCTAATCACTGCCTTTTGAATTTATGCTGCCTACTCTTCATTTGCTATCAGGAACATCCAGCAATAGTCTCAGTTGCTAAGACTTCATGACTAACTTTCTATTCTGCACACGGGCTATGTGACCATGTGTGCTGTGCCCAGCAACATGGAGTGGGATGCATTTGGTCTTCCAGTGCACTCTTCAGGGCTTATGGATTGAGACAGTTGTGAGCCTTTGCAAAATAAACCCCACATCCTTCCTGACTGAAGTGCTGTGGACATCTCACTTCATGTACATATAGCTTATGCAACAGTTTGTTCAGCGTTCTTTCCTTCACACGTTTCCTATTTTTTCTCTTACAGATGGGCAAAAGAGGAAGAAATCACTAAGAAAGAAACTGGACTCATTAGGAAAGGAGAAAAACAAAGACAAAGGTAAAACTACACGAGTACATATTCACTGATCAATCTTAGTTTTACGTATAAGATTTCTTTAGTCTTAGATGTATGCTTTCTGAAACAGGGAAATGTTACCAAGCTGATGCGTTGCCTACATATTCATTTCCAGGTGGAAAAATGTCATATCTTTTAGTAACTGACATTTGAGTAAGCCCATCTTCTGAACTGAAAGCTTATTTCCCAGGAGAATATGAAGTGTTAAAGAACTGTGTCTTTTCTTCCTCATTTTCAGCAGCCAGTGCAGAGTGAAATCAGGATAATATGATCCTGTTGTTTACCTCCATATACACTCTCTCTTTCAATTCACAAAGCGTGTGAACCCAACCCTGCCCAAAGCTAGTCAGTTGGTTTGTTTGTTTTTTTTTTTAACCTTAGGAAAACAGACATTGTTTAAAACGTATAAATGCTTCAGTGCTACTGATCAGTTGGGTCTTAATAGACTCTGTGTGACATGGATTATAGAGATGGTGGGACTTTCTTGTTTGGACATTAAGTAGCTTTTATGGGCTGGGTCCTAATCCAGTGGACTTGACCTGTAGTTTGCAGTCATTTTAACCAAGTCCAGATGTTGAGACCTGAAATGGGTTTTTCTGAAAGTGAAATTTTTGGCATGTTGTGCATCTAATTTTGTGTTCAGTCCTAGAGAAGTTGTTTGGAAAAGTAGTACTAAAATTCAGTATTAATACCTCCATTTCAAAAACATATGAATTTGTAAGAAGAGAAGTGATGTGGTTTCTGCAATGTTATTGCTTTTAACCTAATTTAATAGAACTTTGAGATTGCAGTGAGAAAAAATGAGTGTCCCATATCAAAGTTACTTTAGGTGCTTGTTGGAAAGATAACATTTTCCTTTTAATTTTTGTCTGTTGGATGAAATCATATATGCACTCACTCTTTTTATTGGTTTAAAATTGGCAATGGAAAATATTTGCATTGATCTTTCTAAAAGTGAAAGCCCTGATGTGTTTGTTTGGATAAAAGATAATTGTCTTCTGTGTTGCATTGTGAATAACACATCTTTCATTAATTATGAAAATTACTTGATGTAGAACTGAGCTCACCTTTAGAATGAATTGTTGAGGAAGTGGTCTAATGATCTTAAATCCACTTTTGGGGAAAAATCTGTTTTATACTGCTCCTGTCCATGCTTTACATTTGTTTGCAGGGTAAGCAATCTATCATTATCTTGCTTAGTTTCCTTGTTTTTTTTTTTATGTTTGTTTTTGTTTTTGTTTTTTTTTCCCTTACCCATAGATCTTCACAGTGTTATAAAGTGCACCTGGCCATGTAGGGATCAGTAATTACCCACCGCAAAGATCAGCACTCTGTACTTACTCATCCCTACATATACTTTTATTTACTTCCCATTTATTAGCATGGCTTAACTTTAGCCAAGCATTTTTTAAAATTATTACGCTGATTCTAATTGAAATTCCTTTTTTTTTTCTTCTGTTAACTTCAGATCGTTTCAACTCTCCTATCTTCCACTGCCTTATTCTCATGTATAGGTTGAATTCCAAGATGTCTTTTACTTTCTAAGATGTATGACTTCTCTCCATGTACAAAATATTATAGAAACAGAGCATCTGTTCATATCATTTGTCCAAGTCTTGTGGATTGACAGAGGTGTTGGGTTGTTCAATAGAGTACAAAAGCCAGGAAGCCTAAAGGTTCCCTAGCAGAGACAGCAGAGTAAAGAGACAGTCATGCTGTCTTTTGTTGTTATCAGCAAACATTAAGCAAAAACTAGCCAAGGTAGTGGCACAGGGCACCCCACTTCTCAGTGTTTCTTTCTAGTACACATTTATATGCCCTATTGGGTTATTAAATATCATCCGCCCCACAGTTATTTGCTGAGCACACTCTTAATCTGTGACTACAGGGTGGATAAGCCGCCACGAAGGTCCTCGCTTGCACCATGTAGGCAGCAAGCCAGGCAGGCTTGGTGAAAGACACCAGGAACAGTAGCACCTGCATCTGCTGCCCTGCTACATGTGTTGGGATGTGTGTGTGCCCAGAACGAGGCTTCATGCAGTGCTTTTGGCAGGGTTGGAGGGCTTAGCATAATGGGCAGGGACGTAGAGCTCATAAATTCAGAGTCACAGAGTTGCAGAGTTTTTAGGTAATGAGCTTGCTTTTGCAAGAAAAAAATGCAAGGCCTCTTGTCTTTGTGCTGCTTGTCTTCATGTCTTGGCAGAGCTGTACCTGCTGCCCTGAACAATGGTCCCTGTGTTGCCAAAGTTTGAGTTAGAAGTAACCTCTGTCCTTTTGTGTCAGAGCAAGCCGAAAGTATTTATCCTGATCTGTACCATGCTGGTTTTTTAAAAAGCATTTTACCGTTTATTTTATAAAGGGAATATCTTCCATTACTGGGCAACCGCTCCAAAACAAACACTCTGAGCTGTGGATGTGGGTGTGTGCACACAAAAGGCCAGCAGCATGCACTGTTCACCCTTGAGCATCCCTGATCCTCGTGCCTGTAAGGAGTGCCTGCCCCTCTTCCCTTTTTCTTTTTTTTTTTCTCTTGATGACTGCTCGCACTGTACCATCCTCAGAGAGGAGCTGTGAGAAAAAGAAGAAGGATGTCAAAGTGGAAATGGGGAAGCTGATTTGCAGGATGCTTTTTGTAGATAAGTTGCAGCTGCCTTTATGCAAAGAGCATTTCCCTCCCCTCACTTGAGCATCACATTCATAAGTTACTGCTGAACAGTTCATGATTAATTCAGAATGTTTGTATTCCAGCCTGAGAGAACTCACGTATCAGGACAAACAGAAGCCTAGGGGCCATTTAGTTAGGATTCACCTGGAGTGTGTGTCACCTGAAAAGTATTTTTTGAATGAATAGCTCTCTGAATGTTAATCCTGACAAACACATAGCACTGTGGTCTGTCACCCAGTGTGTGATCCTGCGTGTAATTTGCATCCAAAAATGAATAAGATGAAGGTGGTGCAAAGTAGGCCGCAGTCCTGATTACTGGGGATGCACAACAGAGGCCCTGCTGTAGGGAGCTTGAAGAGTGAGCCCTACAAACAGTTTATTTTGCTTGCAGTCAGCTTTGTGTCTTCAGGTGTGAGCAGTTCCTGAAAAAGAGCAAAGAGGATTTTATACTTAGTTTTGCCTGACACTTTAGCACTGACATACACTGAAGTGCCCCGGAGCATGAACTTGTGGAATTTCTCTGCCTGTGGGGTATAGCATCTCAGGTTGGTCCTGGAGTCTGTTCTCCCCCACCCCACTCCACGAGACAGCTATGCTTAAGGATGTTGCACTCATTTCTTATGACTGTTCTGAGCTTTAATTACTCATATGGTAGGGTCTGGAGATGTTCAAGACCTGCCTGGATGCCTACTTGTGCGACCTGGTGTAGGGAACCTGCTTTGGCAGGAGGGTTGGACTCGATGATCTCTGGAGGTCCCTTCCAACCCCTACAGTTCTGTGACTTATTCCAATCTGTGGAGATTTTACTCTCCCAACATCACATTTTATTTAGATAGACCAGTTGATCAACCTGACTCTTAAGTGAGAGTCTCAGCAAGCTGAAGGCCAACAAAGACACTAAAGCAGAATTGAATGCACTTTAAACAAGATTGATATCTTTATTTTTTCCTTTTTGACAGGTACATCTGTCAAAATCTAATTAGAAGGAAGAAAATCTGGAATAAGTGTTTTCATTTGTTTTTACATCTCTGAGTGACTCACCAGAACAGGATATAGCAAAACTTGCCGGATGTAAATGAATGAAACAGGAGTGCAGCACTCCACCCAGATATCTAAGCAGTGTTTTCAGCTGTTACCATTCAATATCTTTGCTTTTCTCTACCCTGCCTCCTTGTTGTTTATGGACATCGTGATTCTAAATTGTGTTGTCTACCTGCTGACAAACAGTACTGTGGCTGGAGGAACGATAAATGTCAGCACTGCTCAGAATAAGAAATTCTTAGAATTCTCTGCATGCTGGTGACTGAGTACTGTTTCCTTGCAAATTCCCTGCTAATTTTGACGACAGCAGAAGTGGAGCCTTTCATCTGTCTGCTGCTAGCAATGCAGGGGTCAGCATAAGCATGTCTACTTGGAAAGTCCCCACCAACATTCCTGGGGGTGATGGCTCTCAGAAAGGATTTCTCCTAAAATATACTATCAGAGAACCAGCTCTGTTTTTCCATGATTCTAGTAAACTCTACAGGTGAACTGAGAGACTTGCTTAGAAGTAGTAATCATTTGTTATATGATTTGTTGAGCAACCTTTTCCTGATGTTTCTGTGTGGAATGTAAATACTTGAAAAATTCCTCTGCGAGATCTTTGCAGAGTTGCTGTGTATGCTGTAGTTTCTGAGAATTGTAACTAGGGGGTATGCAGCTTCAGGAATAGATAGACCTCCCCACACCTCTGTTGAGCTGAGTCAAAGGATTTCATTATCTCAAAAACTGCATTTAAGCTACACTTAAGAAAAATAAATTAAAAAAACTCACAACAAAAGACTAAGAAGACTATCTAAAATTGTTGTATGGTGCATTATTTGCTTTATTAGCTTTGTAAACCTTATTAGGGTCTAAAGTAAATACCTCAGAGGATCTTAATAGATGGTTGTAGTTTGTGGGATGGAAACCACAATTTTAACTCATGTAATCTTCAGATAAGACTTTGAATCTATATTTGGGTTAGGTGGCATAAGGCCAAGTAGGCTAACTCTGTGGGTTGCATCCTAGTTATCATCATTTGGTTAACAAAGAGCAGGATTTCTGATTTTTGGTCACAGAAACTCTTATTTGATCTGGCTGAAAATATTTCAGTGAAATATTGTTTTGTTTTTTTTTTAAATCACAAATGCTGATTTACTGTAACAGAAGAATTTTTTAGAACCATACCAGTTTCAATCACAATTCGTAATTTTGTCAACTGTGAGGTGGACTTTCTTATAATAGAAATGCACTTCTGCAAAATCTCAAATTGTCTCTGGTGCCAATAAACACTCGAAGCAAAATAGATCAGAAATCAAGTACGTATATGCTTCTGTTTAGGCTAAACATGTGAGTCTACATTTCCAACATAATTGCCCACTCTGTCAGCTTGTTTCCAATTTTTACACAGTGCTGTCTCCAACATTTATTTTTAAACAGTACACTCCTCTAATTGAAAAAGTGATCAGTTTCATTGGGCTTACAGAGACAGTAAGTAACTCAGTAGCTTTGTGACCGTGGTACACATGTAACTATACATATATACATATAGCCCGTGCTATAAGGAACATTTTCTTCATACAAGTAGAACACCTCCAACAGTAGAGCCTAGAGCAGCAGTTGGTGCTTTTACCTGGATTGTGAGAACAGAACCTCAAATTTACATGTCGTCCATCTGAGAAGGGGCTGCATGGCTCTGTGTGACTAAAATTCTTCTTTTTCCCAATGAATCTGAAACTTCAAAAGGGCAGTCATTCATTCACCTTAGTGGACATGTCCTTACCTGTCTACCAAGGGAATTATTGGAATTGACTGCTAGTGATGTTAATGGGGAGAGCGGATTGTAAAACATGTTCTCCTTCACCACCCAACACCCCTGCACGCAACACTGTGCTGGGAACTTGAGGCTGTAAGCCAGTCTGTGGTGGGTGCAACCAATTCTTTTGATTTCAACAAATGAACAAAAAGTTACTGATTTAGCCAATTTTGTAACGTAATTACCACTACCAGCCAATATCACTTCCATCTGTATTTAGTCTGAAAATCAGCCAGTTGGTTTTCATCCAGTTCTCCATCTCTGCCAGATATTGAGAAACTGGGGAAGTGGTTCATGTCCTTTGAGAAGGAGGTGTACAACAAAGCAGCGTAGAGCAGAGGATCTGTGTCCTTTCATTGCTTTGCAGTGAAATGAGCAATGAAACAAGTTAATGAAGCAAGTGAAACAATAGCAATTGAAAAACTGGCATCCCACACCTGAGGGTTTGAGAAGAGGAGCAATACTTACATCAAAATACTGTCTTTTATATAACAAAGTTGGGGAACAGAGCCATTTTCATGAAATTCACTTAATGAAAAAGTACTGAAAACTCATTCCCTGATGATCCCCACCCATTCCATCCTTGTGTTGTACGATCAAAGACATCATCATACTGTTGGGTATCAACAGGTTGTGTACAGCTGTCCCATCCCCATTTGAAGCACAATTGACAAAAGCATTTATATATTTATTGTTCAGGTTTTCATTCAGCTCAGTGGCTTTTGTCAGGAAATGTTGTGGGAGGAGAGAGAAATAGGAGAGCTGGAGATGTAACAAAGGGGAGTCATGTTGCAGATGTGTGTTGCAAGTGAATTTTCAAAGTAAGCTTATGGTCTTAAATGTTCATTGGGAAGATAATCCACAATACTACAAAGTTTCAGTACAATTAATCTCATCATTTTATAATTATACTTGCCAGAGTGTAGGAGGAACAAGTCTGGGCTCCAGGAACTGGAAATCTCTGCATTGCTTGACACCCATTGATGATGTACTTTCTTGTCCTAAATTAAATGCAGATGGTTTTAGATATCATTCTACTCACTGGTCACTTCCAGACTTGTTTGATATATGAGGATCTGCTTCCTTATTTTGTTTTGTCTGGCCACCAAAGTTAGTTCACGTCTTAATGTTTCATATTTTCTAAAGAGCAAGCAAATGAGAACAGGCCCATGTCTCTTTGTTAGAATAGGGTAGAAGCACCCTCACTCAGGATTCATATATTATACTCTCCAGTCCCCTTAATCTTAATAATAATGTAACATTAACAAAACTTGAAAGTGTCATCAAAGATATAGTCAGACTCAATCCCAGGGAGAATTTCCGTCTTTAATTGTTTAGACGACTGACAGACTGGATTTGTAAAGATTTGCTCTCTCTTTCTTTTTTTTTTCTTTTTTTAAAATTGTTTTTAATTTCTAGTGCCTTCTGTATGCCTGATACTGGCAGGTCTGAAACTGGAATCTAGTAGAACCTCACCAGAATCAGTGGGCTCAGTAGCTATTTTATTCATTCCATTTGATCATAAAACAGTTCTAATTTGCGGTTTTACCCAATACTTTTGATTCGACTAATCTTTGATAGGTACAAATTTGAAAGTTAATGATGAGAATTTCAGTGTTAGTTACTGACTGACATACTGAGAAACATTTTTCTGATCCATAAAAAATTCTGGGCATTTTGATGGTAAGACCTGAATATATGCAAGGTTTGTACATTACAGTTTTATTGATGTCTATCATAGAATCATAGACTCATGGAATGGCCAGAGTTGAAAAGGACCACAATGATCATCTAATTTCAGCCCCCCTGCTATGTGCAGGGTCGCCAACCACCAGACCAGGCTGCCCAGAGCCACATCCAGCCTGGCCTTGAATGCCTCCAGGAATGGGGAATCCACAACCTTCTTAGACAACCTGTTCCAGTGCGTCAACACCCTGAGTGAAAAACTTCCTCCTAATATCTATCCTAGATCTTCCCTGTTTCAGTTTAAAACCATTCTCTCTTGTTCTATCCCTACCCACCCTTGTAAAGAGCTGTTCCCCCTCCTATTTATACACTCCCTTCAATACTGGAAGGGCACAGTGAGGTCTCTTCAGAGCCTTCTCTTCTCCAAGCTAAACAAGCCCAGTTCCCTCAGCCTTTCCTCATAGGAGAGGTACTCCAGCCCACTTAGTGGCCCTCGTCTGGACCCAGTTCTATTGGTGTGGAGTGGGTTTATAATACTGTTAAAACTATACCCTTCAAGGCTTAGTCTGAATAGTGGATGTACTTACAAATGCTCTGTGCATGTAGATGCACACCTTCCTGACCTGTGATGGGCCCCATATGCATGCCTATAGCTCTTCACTCTGGTGCATTGCAGTATTTGTGAGAGAAAGACATGATGAAAAGATCTGAAATGGGAGAGCTGTGGCGTAGGTGCCAGGCTCTCCAGTCTCAGGATAGTTTTCCAGAGCCTCTGATGGCCATCTGCACCATTTTGGTTTAGCCAAGTGCCTGGCTTCCAGTTGCTTTCAGTGGAAGTTAAGATCTTAATTAGATCTGTTCCCAGTTGATTTTCCAAGGTTCTGTGTGGTATATCATGCAAGATCCAACTGGAAATAGGAGTCAGATACCAGGAACTACAGTTACCTGGCACTTGTCCACTATTATTTTATTGTTTGAATGTTGTTATTATTGTGCAGTCCTGCACCTCGTCAGAATTATTATATATTTAAAGAGACTTCAGATTGTTTTGTTTTTTAACAGTTTAATACTGAATTCCTTGTGTACTGAATAAATATCAGATGTTCAGTAAATACTTTTTTGTTGCAGAATTTATTCCCCAGGCTTTTGGAATGCCCTTGTCACAAGTGATTGCTAACGACCGGGCCTACAAGCTCAAGCAAGACTCTCAAAAAGAAGAGCAAAGAGATGTTTCAGATTTTGTGGCCTTTCTCTTACCATTTGGAGCAAAAAGGCAGAACAAAGAACTTTCCAGCAGTAACTCATCTCTCAGCTCCACCTCAGAAACACCAAACGAGTCCACTTCTCCTAACACGCCAGAGCCAGCACCGCGAGCAAGGAGGCGTGTAAGTACCCCCATAACTACAAACATGCATGCTCTGTGGAGAGTATGGCAGAAAAAACACTGTGTTTGTGGACTGTGGAGCATTTCTTCTGTCATGTTTAAACAGTGATATTCTATTGATTGGAAGCCAGCCTTGTGAAGACAAGAAACCCCTCACTCTAGAGGAAATCTTTTTCCAGTGCTGATGGGAAAAGATCATATGGACCATGCAAATCTTTTACAGATCCCAAAGTGTCAGAGAGATAATTCAAAAAACCTCAGCTCGCTCTCTTTAACTACCTGCTTATGTATAATTGTTGTAAATTAGTCAAATTCCATGAATTTCCAGCTAATTCTTTCAGATGGGAAGACTAAACCTGTGTGATTAAAATTTGTATACATGCTTATGTTAATTTATCTTCACAAACTTGGAAATAAATTAACTATTAATCATCTAATATTAATAAAATCCCCATGGCCTGATTCAAATCATGTCCTCAGTAGCAACTAAGAAGTTAGCAGAATAAATTTGTACCAAGCTCTTAAAAGTAAATTTCTGCATACAGACTAAGAAAATGCCTTTGGCAGCAGAACTCAGTGCAGCATTTTGGGTTGAACATTAATCTTGCATGTAAGATAGGTAACTGGTAGACCATTTTCTTGCAGGTTTCTGTTCCTTCTAAGTAAATTTTGTGCTCTGAAATCAAAGAGATTACCAGTTCTCCAGTGCTGCAGCTAATAACAGTATTACCAATCTAGTTTTTCTTTTTTAGTGGAGTTGCCCATGGGATAGAGTTTCTAAAAGTATTGATTTTTTAATTTTATATTGCATTGGAGATTAAAACGTCCAGTAAAATACTTTCAATAAAACTCCATTTTAAGTAGTCTGAGAAGAAATTTGGGGTACAAGGACATTCTCTGGAAAACAAAATCTTTCTAGGATCCTGTCCTTTCCCAGGGATGAAACCTGCTTCGGAGAAATGCAATATGGTGTTCTATAAGCTGCAGTGTTAAGAGTGGCAGATCTGTAGTAAATTGCAGATGAAGAGAAGGTTCAAGAGCCCCGTGACCTGCCCCCTTTCTTTCTAGCTGTCATGTGAAGCTTATACTTGAGGTGTCAACAGTCTTTCTGCAGGGAAGTGAGGGCATGATCTTTGAAGATGTTTACATTATTACAGACACAGAATACACGTATTGACTTCTCTAGACCATATTAACAGGCACTTCTTGCACAAAAGTGCAAAATGCACTTGAATGTGTGTGTGAAAGGAAGCTTCTCAACTTCTTTCAGAATTTGGCATAGATGTTGCCAAAAAGATAGAAATGCACTGTATACACCCCTGACTTCAGAACTTGTTTTCATATGAAAGATAATTCACATGTCCAGGTGTGAGTCATCTGCTGTTCCTTTTGTAAAGTGTGATACAATCCATAACTTGTGTTTGACCAGCCAGCAAGCAGAAGGAATACAGATCTTTTGTTACCTCCAAGGAATAGAGCTCTGTCAGGACCAAGTTCCTCATGCATTAGTCTGTAGTGATGAGGGTGCACAATAGAACATATGGAGAAGTAAGAGTAGACTAAGGTGAGCAGTATGATGTGGAGGGAGCTGCCATTCTCTCTGTAACGTACCTTGGTTATGCTATTTTCAACTTCAACAAAGCGAATGTTTTGATTAAAAATAAAAAAAAAGATGTTGACTCATGCAGTTGATGCAGCCAGTTTCTCACATATATGCTGCAAAGACATTTGTAGTGCAGTCTTGCCCACAAAGCCCGCTAGTGTTTAAATTGTAGAGAATGTTTGCAAATATGCCATTCACTTTCATTTAACTGTCATTCACTTTTGTATACTCCCACGAGTCTTTAAGCACTCAGTTGAGGTTGTCAGTAAGGGTTGTAAAGTAATGCTTTTGGCAGTCCTCTTGATGTCGGTGCTGATGTTCTCTCTCATCCAAGAATGAGACTGATATCACAGTGGCTGCTTTTTCTGTGTAAGATTTCTGCTTAGCAGTTGGAAGTCAAGACCCTGATGATCCTTCAGGACACTTTCTTTGTGCTTATTCTACAGAATATTAAGACTGTCTGTTAATGTATTATTTAGATATATTATGCAACCAAAACTTGTGTATCAGGAGCTCACTCCTACTTCTTGTTTAAAGTGATTTGTACTCAGTCCTTTCCATACATGGTAACATTGCTCATCTTTCTGTAAAAGATGTTGGTTTTTAAAGCCCTTTAAAAAAAAAAGAAAAAGGAAATAGTTTTGTCTGACCTTTATTCCACACCTGTCCCCATAGTCTTCACTTTCATTTAGCTCTTTCCATCTACTTTTTAGTCTTCACTTTTCTTTTTGTTACTTTAAGCTTATCGTAAGACTTCAGATTGTGAACTTGGCATGGCAAAGGATGCTGGCTTGACTTGGTCTGGCCAAGTAGTGCTGTCCTTCAGCCACTGAACTCGTGGTCTTTCTTCTTAAAGCCTGTTCTATGTCCCAGTTAATCCACAACTTTGATAAAGTGCCCAAGGATAATGGAGAACTGACTGTATTTACATCTATTTTAGGGATCTGAATCCGACTTAAGTGATTCTGTGATAATAATGGTTCATGGGATGAGGATGTTTTGCAGATAGGGAAGGACCAGTAAGAGCTAGGGTATAAAGACAGTCACCTGTCGTACGTGAGCTGCCTGCGAACAGCAGTGGTGAGCATGGCGTTAGGATTTTCAGTGTCAGGCAAATAATTTTGATGTCTGAAACCCCAGATCTTTAAAAAGAAATAGGAAAATATTTAGCTTGGAATGTTGCAAACATGGATCACACACAGAGAATCTTGCTTGGTTTTGGGTTTGTTTTTTTCTTTCTAATTGGCAGGAAATGGTAAAGGGAATCAAGCAGATGTATTTCTGAGAAACCTTAGAAATCAAGACTGAAGTTGCATTCCAAAGAGACTAATAATTATTTAGAGGTGTGCATCAAAAAAAAAAAAAACCTTTCTAGATAATTTTTACTTCGTTTTTCTGCTAAGTCTTCAAAGTGTTATGAGACGCAAGACTGTACATTACATGCTTTACTTTAGTATGAACTAAGAAGTTTTAATTTCATTTGAAATCCCAGTGGAATTTCTTTACTTTGTCTCCAAGGTGAAAACTTGTATAAAGCTTAGTTTTCTGTCTTGAAGGAAGACAGTATTTCTAGAGCTTGGTAGTTCTGTAATAATTGAACTGTTCCCGTCCAACAGACTGAGATCTTGCTGACAGTCAATGAAATACATGTCAGCAGAAAATATTGCTTTGAAGAAATTAGTGTTCTTAGCAAAGCATAGAATAAAAATTCTACATTTTCACATTTTAAGTTATGGTAAAGTGTATTCTTCGCACTAGAAGGTAAGAAAATAATGTACAATAGATAGTTTTATTGAGAGTTCTTTCCTTTTTTCGTTTTAATTATTATTATTGTTATTTATAAATCTTGATGTTCCCTCAAATATTTTTTGCATTGTTAAGTTTAATAATAGTTCCCTGACTCTGAGGTGAATGATAGTTTTGAAGCAGCAGTTGTGTTGTGGTATAAAAAAAAACCCAGATCTTCATTTTCAAGTGTGAACATTGAAAAATGCCATAAATCTCCTGTTGCTTGTGCTACTTCATCCTTTGCTGACTGCTTGAACCTTTGTGCCTTCCTGTAATCCAAACATAATTTTCAGAGCTTTCATTGGAATTTTATTTAAGATACCTAAAGTGAAATTACCTGAAAAAAAAAATCACCTCTGAATTCTCTCATGTGTCTTTGTTCTGTAATAGCACGGGTTTATTTCAATCTCTGCAATCATACATATTTGTGTAATTAGTCAAGTCTGTGTGGTATAGAGTGGTAAATCTATTTGTATAATTTTCACTGTGTGAAGAGTGTGGAAGTGTGGAAAAAGTAAAGAATCAGGTGTAAAAATGTGTATATATCCTCATGCAAATGCTGTACTGCTGAGTTGCATGCACACATTGTGACTCATTCTTGTCTTGAAGAATATATAGGCCTTTATAGCACTAAAAGCACACCAAATGAATGTAAAGCATTGTGTCTCTTGTGATATAGTAAAGATAGCATGGGTACTGTCCAGATTTTTGCATCTATTACTGTAGTATTATATATTGACCAATTTGTAAAGTGGTAGTGCAAATTGTATTTTGTGCAAGTTTTTTTTAAATGCAGGTAGGCAAAAATAGTTGTTAGATGAGATGTGGTGGTCCTTAGATTTCTACAGCCATACTGAATGTTTATGCATGTCTATTTTACAGGGTGCAATGTCTGTGGACTCCATTACTGATCTTGATGACAATCAGTCACGGTTGTTAGAAGCTCTCCAGCTCTCTTTGCCAGCAGAAGCCCAGAGCAAGAAAGAAAAGGCAAGAGATAAGAAACTAAGCCTGAACCCTATTTACAGGCAGGTTCCGCGGCTTGTAGACAGTTGCTGCCAGCACTTGGAAAAACATGGTAAGAATATTTCATCTTGCCAGGAGTGGCAGATGTATTTTTACTGAAGTATAAATAAATAAGTATTTTGAGAACCAAGTGTATGCTTAAAATTGCAATGACATCTTTACAAGCTAGACAGTTCCACTCCAGTTTTCCCTCCTGCTTCCCTCTTCCTGTCTCACAGATAATTTCTTAGGAGATGATCTCCTCCCAAACTGCAGATCTATGCTACAAGCTTGCTAACTGTTGCATTCAGCATGGAGGAAGACCACTTTCTTGGAGGTCATTCATTTCAGAGCTGGAGTGATCATCTCTGAAAGAATGACTTTCTACACAGTACAGGTTTACACACCATGAGAATGAAAGCCTGAAAGCCAGCTACCAATTCTTAGCAACCGGTGGATCTTTAGATTTTGATGCTAAATGAACGATTTATGCTACAGTGCAAGACATAGCTAGAAACAACATTGAAAAATAGTGGTTCAGAGGAACAAAAAATATCCCATGCTAAATTATATTAAGATTTCAGAAGATTCTTTATGTTCGCTACAAGACTTTCAAACTGCTTATTGTTTGTCCCTAGCTTGAATCTGTTGACCAGTCTCAGGCTCAGACCTGCTTTCTCTGAAAGGAATTATAAAACTGTGCCAATATTCTTCTTACGGCTTCATGATCGTTCAGACACAAACATCCCACTGGTTTTCTGTAATGCAGAAACAATAGCTAATCAAGATATCTATTCAACATCTCTCCCAATGTATCTTTGTTTTGTAAAGAATTTTTTATAAGAATTGAAATAACTTGGCCACAGAGAAACCTATCACTTGGCCAGATGATAAACAAACCATTTAATAATGGTGAATGTAGAATCAAATGCTGCATCTGATGCTTAATTTGACCAGAAAGAAATCATTTACAGTCTTTGAATTAAAGGCTTTTTCAGATGGAGGACAGCAACTTAAACAACAATGCTAAGCTTTTATAATACCCATGTGGCTTACAAGTATATAAAAGAAAACAATGAAAGCAAGTCATTGTTAGCCTTTTACAGAGACTAGATATCATGGCTGACAAATATGGGGATGATTAAGTTTAAGACGAATGACTTCCATCCTTTAAGTAAGGTTAACTGAGTTCGGAGAACATAAAAGTATCTGAGACAGCAGAAAGAGACCTCAAGCAGAGTATCCTAGTGATTAAGTGCTTAATCCACCTAATACACTGTAATAACAAAGATTGTTTTCTATGCAACACTTTTTACTAAAATATTTTTATTGGAATTTCCTTTTAAATAAAACATGATGTTTCTTTTTGCATTTTCTAAGAGCACGATGTAGTGCCATACAACATGATCATCCCAGATACTTTGGGGCAAATATTGATGTTCTTCAATTTTCAACTTTATCTACAGTCCACAGGAGTATTATACAAAAGCCATCAGGTCTGGTTGACTTTGAGAAAAACTAAGATTTCAGAAGACAGACTCAATTGTTTTTTCATTGATTTGGGGTAAAAACAGAGAACTTGATGTTCTGGCAGCAATCCTCTAGTAACATCATTCCAAACTATGTGACGGATCGTGTTTTATATTCTGAATATATGTGACTATATACATTGGTCTTTTATACCAATTTTTCAGCAGCAGGCTGCAAAGAGACTCCTCATGTATGTTTTATATGATTATAAAAAGGAAAAAAGGAGGAAAGGAGAGAAGGGAAGGGAAGGGAAGGGAAGGGAAGGGAAGGGAAGGGAAGGGAAGGGAAGGGAAGGGAAGGGAAGGGAAGGGAAGGGAAGGGAAGGGAAGGGAAGGGAAGGGAAGGGAAGGGAAGGGAAGGGAAGGGAAGGGAAGGGAAGGGAAGGGAAGGGAAGGGAGGGAGGGGGGGGGGGGAGGGGAGGGGAGGGGGGGGAGGGGAGGGGAGGGGAGGGGAGGGGAGGGGAGGGGAGGGGAGGGGAAGGAAAAGGAAAGGGGAAGGAAAGGGAAAGGGAAAGGGAAAGGGAAAGGGAAAGGGAAAGGGAAAGGGAAAGGGAAAGGGAAAGGGAAAGGGAAATGAGCTCATATTTTTTAGGCATAACAACCTTTGGCCTAGTTCTTTCCTGTTGCCCCTGGGATAAGGTCCCAAAGTTGTAAAAGTCTGAAGCTTCCTGCAAACGCTTAGTGTAAAAAAAATATGTCATGTTTGTGCAGGAACTGGCAACCAGCTTTCAGTTTTTGTCCAATGCAAGTATCTCTGTCTCAGTTGATTCCTTGCTAGTGTTCTTAAACTACTAAATTACTTCTGTATTATTCTGTCAGTTCAATAAATTCAATTTTCTGCTATCCAAAGACAGAATATTTGAAGAGAGTTGTCATATTGAGACTAACAGCTAAAAGATTGAAACTGAGCTGAATTTTTCTGCAGTTGGACTGTGGACTTGCACATCTCCAGCAAGCAGTGTGACTTCGTGGTTATTCTAATGGGGAAAGCATTTGTTTTACAATGCTATTTATTATTTCTTACATATCAGTGGAGAAGATTAATGTTTCAGTGTAGCCTTTATTAGACCATACATTTTTAAAAGCTTATAGACAATTTCATCTTTCTTGAAACTCTTGTATGAAATTATGTATATTCACAGATATTCAAGCCTCTAGGATTTCCACACACATTCTTATTGCTAAAGACTGTGGCACCTCTAAAGGTGACACCTACTCTCAAATTTTTCAGTTTCTGTAATGGACAGTATATGTCTATTCATCAACTGCATTATATTGTTGGCTTGATATCCTCCCTGTATCTATGTACAAGGCTAGAGGAACACAGGAACTGATTTCTCGTGAATAGCAGGCAACCCTCATTCCAAAATAAAGTTTGAATGATATTTGAATGATGCAGCGGGCAAACATTCTGCACTGCCTGCATTGCCTGCAGTACAATATTGGTTTGTTGCTTTCCTTTTGTAAAATACTACCTACCTTATAAACTGTGTGCAACTCCCAAGTAGTTCTTCCCATTCATTATCTGCCTGATTGCCCTAATTACATCTCTTTGAAGGAAACTCTAACCTTTGCACTGGTAGGAACTACAGAGCCAGTGGATCAACCCAAACAGCAGCTGCTTCCTGTATTCAAAATCACAGATCAGTGTCCAAGTATTACTGTGTTGACTATTTCCTTCACTGTCAGTCCTGAAAGGGCCACCTCCAAATGTTGAGGATTGCCTCGCTGTCTGCAGACCTCTGTCCCTCACAGATTAGTAGTGGCACTAAGATGGCATCAGGTAACAGAGATGCCATTTTGCAGGTTAGATGTGAGATCCTTGAGAACTACTGACTGACTGCTTATTCCAAGACAGCTGGGTTTTGTCTCAGAGCAGTAAGTACAGCCCTATAGAGAAACACATTGCTTTTGTTTTTGTGTGTGTGTGTGCTTTTTTAAACGCTTTAAAGCAGACAGCCCAGATTGCCTTGATTCAATGTGATTTCAAACAGAAAATTATACAGTAAAACAGTTGTCTGATGTGCTATACTTGCAGGTCTCCAGACGGTGGGAATATTCAGAGTTGGAAGTTCAAAAAAGAGAGTAAGGCAGGTGAGTTGATATGGATTTTTTTACTCATCAGGTATGACACAAATAACCCTATTCCCTTCTCTTGAGTAATTTCTCCTTGTCCTTCACCTGGAGAAATTCAGGCTTTCTATGTCAGTGACTTTAGTGTGTATTTGTTAGCTCGTAACAGCCATCTTTTACATTTGGTGAAATCTTTCTAATGATCTCACTAGATTAATAGTCATTGTATATTTTGCTCTGCGGAAGCAGCAAAGGATTGGAGATCCAGATAGTCTACTGTGATGAAATTTTTCAGTTTACAGTGTGAGGAAAAAGAAATCTTGGCTGCTTATTTATCTCAGAAAGAGCAGAAGCTCCCAAAGTAAGCCTAAACTGTAAATCTTTTTTGGAAAAGTTACACTATGAGGAAATATGGAATTACAGAGCAATGTCTTTGACCCTGTGAGAAGCTGGAGTGAGACACTCAAATTGCTGCTTGCAAACATCACCTTGTTCAACTTCAAGGTCAGAGCAGACCCGTCCAATTTCTGATGTTGAATATTGGCCAAATGTTGAAAAAGCAGAGGTTGTGTATAGTTAGGTTCCAGAGACAATGTCAGAAGTGAGGTTTTCCTCACTATCAGCTGTTGCGTTGTTATTCCAAAAAGCTAGAAATACTTGTTGAGTTAGAGTAAGTAGTAGAACATAGTGCTTAATGGTTTTGTGATGCTTAGGAGATAACAAAAAGTTATCATAGAATATTCCTGCTAGAAATTTTAAGATCAAAATGTGAAAATACAGCAAAACAAAGGAAGCCTGATGACACCGATCCTAGGAATAATAGTACTGTTTTGCAAAAATACACAACATAATGGTTGGCTCTTTGGACATTTATCATGAATAGCTAATTTGACTTGGTTCTGAATGGTAGAACAGTATAACCTACTGATTTGTAGTTTACTCTCTACCAGTTAATACTGCTGTGTGGCTAATGTACCATAAAGCTGAAAACCCTCATGGTCTGCAAAGACAGTTATTAGATCAACACTAAACGAGTAAAAGTACTGAAAAGTAAGCTGCTTGTCATTTGCATTACAAGCATCAATGTGAAAACATTTGTTATTATTCAAAGATGAGTATATTTGTATCATACCTCTGGGAAAAAGCAGAGAGCTTGTATCATTTGCTTGTATCCTAAGCCTTACTTCAAACATCACTTTCACCATTTTTTTCTTTTACTCAGTTTTAAAAACAGAAGACACTGACAGATTTGGGTACTTATGTGTTATATTACGTTGACTAATTCACTGAATTAGGTGAACTAATTTATTTTATTAAACAACATGGAAGCATCACATTGGCCCAGCAGTTAAAATAATAAATGCTGTCAACACGAACACATGGGAAAGTTTGGATTCAATTAAAATTCCATTCATTTTCTGAACCATGGAAGGCCAAGTCCAATACTTAGATTTTGGTGTGCTTTCACAGCTGCTCTTTAGTCTTTGTACAGAAAGTAGGCATAGTTTTTTCTCTTTTCTTCCTCCAGTTAGAAGTTCTATTTCAGCTGTTGCAATAAATACATAAATAAGTGCATGTGACAGCAGGTTTTGTTTGTGATAATCAGGAAGAGAAAATGAAGAGCAAATATATGCATTACAAGCCACCTTAAAGCTTTCTCACAGTTATTGGGGTGCAGGACTAAGTCTCCTGAGCTGGAGTTGACTGGAGGTTGGACTCGATGCTCTGGAGGTACCTTCCAACCCCTACGATTCTATGATTCTGTGATTCTACGAGGTGCTGGGTTGGGTATGGGCTATTTTCACACTGAAGAGAAAAGATGGAGCTCTCAAGAAAGTTTTCTGCTATTAGTGTTGGGAAGTCTCTTCAGAAAGTCTGCCTGTTATCTGGTCAAAAGACATATTGGCTGTTGGTGAGCGATTTCTTCTGCCTCTGAGACATTCGATACCTTTGACTTACACAGAAATTGTCTGAGAACTGTAGTGAAAATTAGCAATACCTCAGAATGGTGTTAGTTTGGTGTTTGTTAATTTTGTAGTAACAATCATTAAGTGAGTATAACTAAGCTAGGAGGATGGAACAAGATGTGTGGGGACCAGTGCCAAGATTTCTTAACGAACATGTCTGTTTACTACTTAGGCTTAAATACGTACAATCTCAATTCACAAAAGAAATGTGAGTTTGGTAACCTTTAACATTGCTCTATTATTATTATCAATGTTTTTGTACAAAAACATACATGTTATGAAATGCAGTTTCATTCTTTCCAAAAACCTGAGGATAACACAGGAAGGTGGTATAAGAAAGCCTTTTGTCCAGTTTTCATTATTCACCATGGTTTCTATCTTTAGTATTAGTCTTACATTTCTGCATTTACTTAGCATGCTTTTTTATAGAAGAATGCCATACACTAATTGGAAAGAAGCTTATTACAATCTGGTACAAACTTGAAGTTATATACCATGGAATAAGCAGCAGTTAGATGTGAACTACAATCTGGAAAGTGAAAATGTGTTAAGTTACTTCTTGAAAGATCTTTATCTGTTGGAACATACTAATTGTGACAATGGCAAGTGACTGAGTTTTTATGTCATGGTCTTTTCCAGTTGCGTGAAGAGTTTGACCGGGGCATAGATGTTGTGTTAGACGAAGAACACAGCATTCATGATGTTGCTGCTTTGTTAAAGGAATTTCTACGTGACATGCCTGACCCACTTCTCACCAGAGAACTTTACACACCTTTCATCAACACTCTCTGTGAGCTCTGCAGCATCTTCATTTACTGATTTTCAAAAGCTTGTTTGAATTCTGTAATTTCTACACACTGTATTCTCTTTCCTGTCATTTAATACTCTAGCCTAGATTCGCTCCAAATATTTGCGTAGCATAATTTGCAGAAGACTTTCCTTGGTTTTCATACTATGTAAGATTAGCCCTGAGAACTAAAACAGAGATTTCACTTTTACATTGGTATACAGGATGAATTCATGTTATCTGTTAAATCCTGATCCTGTTATTGGTTCAGCAGAAGCAGATGACAGACTTCCTTCTGTATCCTGGTATCTCAGCACTGCCAGTGTTTTTAGTTTGTATAGCTACTCACTGACCAAAATTTCAGTCTGACTTCATAAACCTAACATCAGAAATTCAAGTTTCTTTGTAGTTAATGATCCTCAGAGTTATTATGTTAAAATAGTCCCAGCATACTGACCTGGATGTAATCTCGGAAAAAGTAAAGTTGGACCCTTCAAGATCAAGCTGCTGCCTAGTATGTGTTTTCTGTTTCTTGCTGAAGCCTTCATATCTGGGATCCTGCTTTTATACCTGCTTTTATACCTGCTATATCTGAACGAAAATAATATGTAGAAAATTAAGCAGAATTTTTGTGTCTGGTGACAACAAAGTATGCAACATGGAATTTGCTCTCTTATAGACTGAGAGAAGAGCCTATGAACCTATGAGCAAAATGTTGACTAATCAAAGCAAAATTACAGTAACAGTATTTGTTATGCTTTGATATTTCCTTGAAGTTTTATCTTTTTTTTCTGATGTTTACAAAGAAAATTACTGTTAAGCAAAGCTATTCTCAAGCATTCCTTTGGGCTGGGAACGGTATATTTGTTCTTATTTTAGGTTAGTTGGAGTGCTTTTCTTAGAATGTATTTTTTCCCCTCTTAGTATTAGAGCCAGATGAACAGCTAAGCACCTTACAGCTTCTCATTTATCTCCTACCTCCCTGTAACTGCGATACCCTACACCGACTGCTGCAGTTCCTCTCCACCGTGGCTGGCCACGCAGAAGACACCACAGACAAAGACGGCCAAGAAGTAAGTCCCAGCCACTCTTTCCTTTGACTTTGTTTAATTAATGGACTGGAAAGAGATCTTTGGGCCTGCGAAATAACCATAGTGGTGACATGTCCCTGAAAGATAAGGGAGATTTCTTGTTTTTGCCTATAATTTGTCATTTGGTTTTCTACTATGTTCTTAGGGCTGTAGGAGGGCTACCACCTATATGAAAGTGTCAGGCATTCAGGTGCATGTTTATTTATTCTCTTCATTCTCTGATGTTGCTTTCATACATAATCTTTGGACGTAGTTCATTTCTTGTTTTTCTTTGATTCCTTGTGTTCATTAGATAGCAAAGAATAAAAAGTAAAATAGAGGAACTCTGGCTGTGCCCTTCTGTCTGGTAAACCTAATCACTATTTGAAATTAGGATCTATCTCTGTCAGTTTTTCTACTGGCCGTCTTGTTGTTGCATTCACTGGAGAGAGTAGAATGCAGCCATCTCCAGAGATAATACCCATAGCTGTGGTGTACTAAGAATCATGGAATGGAATCATTAAGGTTGGAAAAGACCTCTAAAATCAACAAGTCCAACCACTAACCCATCACACCATGCCCACTAACCACGTCCCCCCACATCTACACTTGTCTCGAACACCTCCAGGGATGGTGACTCCACCACCTCCCTGGATAGCCTGTGCCACTGCCTCACCACTCTTTTGGACAATATTTTTTTCCTAATATCCGCTGTAGTACTTTTGAGCATTGACACATATGCATCTGAACAGTCACACTAGGGAAGATCTGAAAATCCAGCCTTCCCATTTTCTGCCAGGAAAGCGTTTGAACTACTGTGCTGCTCTGCAAAAGGTGGCAACTGTGTTATCTTTGAATGAGACATGGATACAGCCTGTCAAAATTGGCAGGCTTGGCAAAATTGTGCCCTTTTTTTTTGGTGGAAAGGATTTCTCATTCCTCTGAAATGCAACAGAGATTACTTCTGAGGCTACTTCTGACACTGCTGAAACTCCTCCTCACTTCTTTGGATGCTTTTTGGAGTTGATTGGTATTTAAGAATAGGCACCATGAAACTGTCTTTTGCTGAATTTCTGCCTGAAGTTTGCCTGAAGTTTGACAGTAGAATTGCCTGAAGTTTGATGGTTGGACTAGATGATCTTATTGGTCTTTTCCAACCTTAATGATTCTATAACTCTATGAGAAGTCCTAACTTCAAATGCGCTGCATGAGCCTTTTTCAGAGCCTTTCAAATGCTATTATTTCTATCCTCAGCAATACATTGATAGACAACTGTACCACCTTAATGGAAGGCACTTAAAAAGAGCAGCCTGTAATAATTTTACTGTGCTTAAAAACAATGTGTACATAAGCCAGCTGAGGCCCCTGCCTCCAGCAGAGGGTTTCCTGTTGGTTCAGGAACATCCTCAAGAGGATCTTAATACAAGGCTAAAGGCTGATGCTGCTTAAGAGAGTGAGTCTAGTAAAACAGTTGTAATAAAAGCATTTTCATTCTCCTTAGGAGCACATCAGCTCTGCTAAAGGTATTTTGGCAAGGCAAATTTAGGTGAGCCATCTTGGCAGTATTGTAAGCATCCATCAGGAATATTATGTGCAATTGGATATCTTTTACAGATAATACAGCATTCTGCTCACAATATCATCAGCTGTTCATTAATAATTAAGTGAATAAAGGCATATGGGGCAAAAGAAAATATTTTATAGGCTACTATCATTGGAATGAAAACAGGCAAGCTTTGGCACACAGTCCCTTCCTCATGATTTCTTTCAAAAGCCCTTCTCTCACAGATACAGAGATAGATGACTAACTTTATTAAAGTGACTCATCCAGCTAATTTAATTGGGAATGTTTACACCATTTTTTTAAGGAATGCCCTGAAGCTGCCCTTAAGAAAAGACACGCTGTACAGACAGCCTGCATATGCAGATGGGGGCACAGCCAGGGGCTGCCCTTGGCTCTCTCAAAGCACCACGTGCCCGTGCATCCTTGGTGGCTCAGTACTCTGACACTAGTTAAAAACTAGGTCACCCAGGAACATCTGTGTGCTCTGTGGTGTGAGCAGGGAGTGTTCAAGCATTATTACGCTGGGGCAAGTCTCTATAGTCAGCACATTCATTGCAGCTGCCCATGCATCTGCTTGTTGCAGGTATCTTTCTGAGATTAAATAGTGGTCCCAACAATAAATGGAAATTCTGTTTTTCACTGCCAGCTCTGTGCTACCTGTTGAGCTCTGTATAAAAAAAAATAAAATAAAAGAATTAAAAATTAAGAACAAAAACAAGAAAACCCAACAAGAGTAGTCAGTGTACAGTTGTAAATTCAATTGGAACATTCAGTGTATGTCATCTACCAAAAAAACCCACACCTAACTGTTTTTAAAGGATTCATTTGGTACCACTCATTTCATGAAGGGCTGTTTTTCTTCCTCTTTCTGTGCCCATTCTGTGCTCATTCTGTCCTTTTTTTTATTCATTAGTTCAAATGTAATTGAAGCAAATGAAAAAATAATGCATATGATATCTGTTTTCTTAAAAAAAAAGCCTGCAAGAAAAACTGGTTCAACTGACAAACTTCACTTGCATTCTTATACAGTCTGGCATCATCTTCTGCATTCCCAGAATAGCAATCAAGTAGAGACAGAAAGGAAGCACATAATGCTTGCTTTTTCTCTCTTAAAAGAATAGGATGGGGAAAAAGTAGTCTACTCACAAGCTTGACAATGAATATCTGGATTTAATAACCTGTATGACATATATTTCAGATTGTTTCTGTATTGGTGTCTATCCTTCCACTTCTTCCAAAGTCAAGTTACTACTGCTTTGTTAAGCATAGATACGGAGATGCAAAAGAAAGTAAAAAATAAAAAGAAACTAAAAATTGGTTTAAAAAGTAAATATTTAGCATGTTCTAGGAAACAAGAAAAAAATAGAAAAACACTAATAAAAACATTGAGCGTAATCCTCAAGTATCCAAACCACTTAACTGTTTGAACTTGCAAAATTATGCTTTTCTTCACTGTGTCTACTTCATATCATGAGTGCTAGTGGAAGAAGTAACTGCCTGTGGTATGTGGTCTGAAGAGGTGGTGATATGGTAAGGAATTGAGGTAGGAAGAGACTTCCCTGAGTTCAGATGAAGTATGCCATTGTCAAGCTGACAGGAAATTAAGGGCAGACAGCACTTTCTCCCTCTTGTCCTCCAGTTCATTCGCAAATCCGTCTAGAAAATCCACAGAGCTTCTAGCAGGGATGTCCAAAAAAAGTCTTTCAGCATTTCTGAAAATGGTTAAATGTTTGACTGGCACTCTTATATTTTGATGAATAAACTATCTGCTAAATGTCTTGTGTGCGTGGATTTGTGAGAATGCATGTATCTCTCTCTGATCTATATCATATATCATTAGATCCTGGAGCCCCTACTTCATTTATTTTCTGTTTTCCAGGTTACTGGGAACAAAATGACATCACTTAACCTGGCTACTATCTTTGGCCCTAACCTGTTGCACAAGCAGAAATCTACAGACAAAGAATTCACAGTTCAGAGTTCAGCTCGAGCTGAAGAGAGTACTGCTATCATAGCTGTTGTACAAAAGATGATTGAAAACTATGAAGCCCTTTTTATGGTATGTGGATGTTTCTCTATGTTACTTACAGGCATTTTTAAGTTAAATGAGGTAATTCCAGGTTGGTATTAGAAACCACAAAGATGAAATAAACTGTGGAAACTGCATTACATTAAGCTCGACTTGAATTAATAAACAAAGTAGCCTTTCTGTCAAGGCTAATGCTTTGCAGCAGTAATACTGAAAATTTGTAAGTACATCTTGCTAGGAATGGTTTCTATGTAGATAAGAATATCTTCCTTAGAAGATTTCTTTGTCTGTGGGAATGATTGATGGAGATGGTTATTTAATTGAACACTAAACCAGGCGGTATCATTTCTCACTAGTTCTAAAGATGAGACTGAAAATGGCCTTTCACCTCTCAGGGTTAGAAATTAATTAATTTTACTGAAGGGAAAAGAGATCCTTGGTTAAAGGAACAACTTTCCCTGTCAAAGACTTCTTTCTTGTTGGTCATATGGGAAGAAAAGACAAAGTTTTCTTACTTGTCATTTGGCTAAGAGGAGTGAAGCATGAATGTGTGTTACTCCTGAGTACTTTTCTATTCTCTTGCTGAAGCAAGGATGTTCCTCATGGAAAGGACAATGACCTTTGATAGGGCATGTTTTGAACAAATAATTCCTATATATTATTGCCTGCTGAAGATGCAATTTAGTTAAAATACATTGATAAAGCCTAGCAGTTACCTGATCACTTCATTCTCTGACCTTGTCTTTTTCAGTCTATGAAATCATAGGTAAGTTTTGCATGATTTGTGCCCGAGGCAGAGAGCTCTACTCTAGGGTAGCAGAAGCCAGTTGGTGGGCATCATCCCATCTTCATTGTAGTAGAAATAAATGTCCTGACAAAAAAAAAAAAAAAAAAGGAAATCTTAAAAAAGTGAAAATGGCTTGGTTTGTGGTGGCTTCCTCCCTGCCTTCCTCTCTTCCCTGCTCTCTTTCTCTCTTTCTTTTTTTAATGCTTTTCACAGTTTGAGGAAACTTTAGGTGCTGTTTTTCCTTCCAAAGCGTGAGAAGAAAGTCAGGGAACAGGTTCTGTTCTGGGCAGCAGAACTTGTGAGAAGTTCTGTTGCCCAGAGCATGGATGGCACTAACAAGTTTTAAATAATACTTGAATAAGAACACCTGCAATACTTGAAATATCTTACTGTTATTCTTCTTTAAGAACACTTCATGGCACAGCACATCTTACTTCAGACACATGTTCAGTGTGGAAATAGCAGGGTTTAGGATTAGGTTAACCTTACCTATGGTGTCTTTTCATTTTGACAGATTTATTCCTTTTCAGTGCTTGAATTTATAGCTGAAAGTTAACTGCAGTGTTGAAAAAGAGAGAAGCTTTCTTTGTTCTTTAGAGCAGACTCTCAGATAGTAGAGGGAGTTTAAAATCAGATTTTAGAATGAAAGGTTAGCTGCATGTGAGAGAGAATCAAACCTATCACAGATGCTCTCCTGAAAGCTGAAAGAATGTTGATGTAAAATTTACAGAAATTCCTAACAGATGAGCATCTGTGGGTGCTTTTACTCTGCCCATTCCCACTGCTCAACAAATAGTATGGCAAGATCTCTCTGTTTTTTCAGGAGTAATGTCTAGAATATGATATTTGTGATATTTGATTTGTAGGACTGTCAAATTGCTCACTGCTACTGTTTTACAAAGCTTATCCTAGGGTTTGCTTTCAACTTTTGCATGTTCTCCTAGGCAGCACAGAGGAACTTCATGTATTCTGAAGATAATTAACCCAGTGCATCCTTTGGTAATTGATGCATAGAAATGAAAATACTCATACATTATACTGTAGTATAATTCTGATCATTTGAAATCAGGCAGCAACAATTCATTTTGTAAATCTATCCGAGTGGAGCCAAACCAGGACTTCTGTTTATACTTAACATTTGTGCTATTTAAAAAAAGAAAAACATCTGGACATGAGGATCCAGCTACAGCAATAACATATAGTGTATTGATGCCAACTTGTTTTTGTGCTTTGCTTATCATTAACATTAGTAATATGCAAATGTGGATATAGCATAGAAGATATACTACCCTTACTTCATAGATGTTAATGACTTTAATATCCAATTCCTATCCATTTCAGTGAGTCTTAGAGATGCATTAGTACGTGTTGCTGGAATGTTCAAGGTGCTGCTTTTTAATAGTCTCTGAACAGTGCCCAGCAGTTGAATCCAAGGAAGCTGAACTCAACCACCCTTTCCCTCATTGGCTTTGGGTTGGCATGGAGGATGAAGAAGAGGGGTTATGCTTTTAGCAGCTCTGCCATGCAGTTATGTTGCCTAGTGCCTAAATCCATCCCTCCTGCAAAGAAGCAGTATGCAGAGTCTGAAATTTATTATTTTTATTGTTAGAGGCTGCTATGGTTTCACCACAGAGGAGGCACTTACACACTGCCTTTCTGTGACACTTCAGTATCCAGGGACAACAACTGTAAGGGTCCCTCCGCCCTTCTGTGCCTCAATAGCTGTGATGCCCTAATATCTCAAAATTATCTCCTGACAGCCCCAAGCCTTCTGATCAGTCCTGGCATCTCAACTGGCATCTCAAGGACTGCTGAACAGATGCAGTTATTTCAGTGGTGCCTTGGCTTCTGCATGTCCTTGCCTTACCCTTCTGTCCCTTAACTTCAAGTTCTCATCCACCTACTCAGCCGTAATTGCCAGCTAAGCAGTTACTTCAATAATGTCAGCTCTGTCATCTTCCTGAGATGTCCATATAGTAATTCTCTATAAATATAAATTTGTTTACACACATATCGTTTCTACACTTCCAAGTTAGTTAACCAAACCGATAGAAATTGCTTTCAGATGAATTCCTCTCAGTGGATTCTTACATGTTTAACAACTTGATTCTAAGGTGAATAGTAAGTTAAATGCAGAAAAGCCTGAAACCTGCTTCACTCAGATTTTGTCTGGATTGAGTTCTACTGTATAAAAAGGCTGTCTGAACTGAAAAATCACACAGCACCAGGTTTTCAAAAACGTATTACTAAAAAGATAAGATAATTTATTTAAAGACTAGTATATGATTGCCCATTGTTAAGAAATTTTTCCAGCTTAGAAGTCAAAAGTAATTTTTTAAAAGAAAGTCATAGTCACACAATTTTTTCATAAACAATTAGAGTCAATTTGAATTAAATGATGACTATCTTCATTTATTTTCAGATTATTTCCTTTATCAAAGTAATATGTCTTTTCTGTTACTTGACTTCTTAAATATGTTCCTTCCAAACTGAGGTATTCCCCTGAGGAATCTATTAGTAATTCTATTCCTATTTCCCAGTAAATGTCGGGGAGAATAAATGGCCCATGCAGTGTGACCTGAAGGTCAAAAGATGTAGGCTCTGACAAATTGCATCCACAAGCAGATTGCACAGTTGATGACCCCTTGCTGAGATTGTCTTGCCTGCAGCAATACCTGTCATGAATCAGGCCCTAAGCAGAATTTAAGTTCTTCTAGATCCTAGAATTTGGGCATCCAGATATCTGAAGATTTCATGTTTACCTCTACCACTGAAATGGAAGAATGGACAACGGAAGAACTTCAGATATAGAGCTCTTACCATGAAATTTCTGTGTGAGAGGGATATAAATAAATTAAATGCTATGGAATATGTGAAGAAACATTTTCCTTCCTGTGTAATTACATCTTGTGTTATTTCAAAAACAGGTGATACACAGTTGCTTGGATTTGAAATTTTTAAGTAACTCCAGATCTTTGATTGGAGATGTAAGATAAGGACCTTAAACTGGGGCTTTTGTGACTGCAGTACATGAATAATCCCACTGTTATAATACTCAACTGGATACCAATAGGATATTCAACAGTAATCAGCATTTGCCTTTGAGCAAAGTGGTCCTCAGTCCTACTTTCATCTGTTATATGAAATGTCTTTTAAGTGGGAGCATCTGAATATTTGTTTTATGTACTCTTTATAAGTGTAATTGTACTTGATCTTGCAGATTAAGCATTATACCAAAATGAATGTATGTATGTGGAAGGAATGTTTATCTCCAGTTAATTATTTTTTGTTTTCTTCATAGGTTTCCCCTGATCTACAGAACGAAGTGCTTATTAGCCTGTTAGAGACTGACCCAGATGTTGTGGACTATTTGTTGAGGAGGAAAGCTTCCCAGTCATCGTGAGTAATTAGTTCTTTCATCATCCTTGTTTCTGCTGGGAATTTCTATCTCCCCTTGGAAGTGTTCTAAAGGTTGTGGTTTTCCGCAGCTCTTCTGCACTGTCTACAGTGGAGTAGAGAAATCCTCCACATTAAACAGACTCTGCCAAAGAAATTATGACTCCTGTACAGTGTTTTCTAAAGACAAGTCTTGTTTTCCTGGTTCAAAGAAAAGATTGTGTTCTGCTGCAGAGAACAGAATGAGATGTACATAAAAGTATTCAGTGCACTATTATCTGGCAGGATGTATTCTAGTGATCGGCTGGTTCGTGTCTTGGGTTTATTGTAGTCTTCAGTAAGAGGAAGTGGAAACACCCCAGAGTGCCTTAATACAATCACGGCTAACTGTTTGACCAGTTTGTTGTTCTTTTTCTATTGTATACACTTGTGAACTAGGTAGGGCATTGTAAACACGTCAATTGTTGCAACAGCAGGCTTATGAAAATTCTTTGGATATTATTTAATCGAATACTTTGTGAAATATCTGAAGAGAAAAAGAATCACACCAGTCACTATTGCGGTTATTGTACATAACATATTCCAACTTTGTGTATGCTTTCTGTTTGCTTTCACTCATGTGCCTTAACGCTATGACTTTGTACAATTGGATTAACGGGACTCCTGGCTTTCTCATGGGATTACACAGTCATTGCCTTTATTGTAGTGAATCCCAATATGCCAGACTCTCAAAATTACAAAATTTGATCAGCTTGCTTTAAGTCATTTTTAAGAGGTTTCCTAGATGCTAGGGTCTCTGCAACAGATTAGACTTTGTCTTCCTGTGTGTGTGTGGGAAGTGCCTAGTGCATTTAAACTATAATTAAAATGGAAACTGTACAGTTAGCTGTTTTTGTTTTTCTCTCCCTCTGAACATTGTACTTTTGACAGTACTGTAATGGTGTGCATAGCTTCAAAGGAAGATGTATGAAAGAAAAAGTACAATTAATACATTGGGGGAAAAGGCTACTTCAATTACAAAAATTGAAAAAAAAAACAACATGTGGAATATATCATGTGTTGTAAAGGATGTTACTAGTTCATTAGTTTAGCCACATGAACACATAACACGAGCAAATTGTCACATATCATCTGATCTGTGATAATTGTCTGTGTTTCTGTAGTGTACTGCAGTTAAGAAATAATTTCATTTAATGTGATCTGACTGACAGCAACTAGCCATGTATGTATTTAGTTCACAGTAAATGCCAAGTAATTTGTTACTTTAGACGTCTTTTACAGTTGTTTCACATTTACCATAGGCCAAGACCGCAAATCACATGACATATAGTAATAATATGATACTCTGTAGAGACTTCTTTCTTCAAGTCCACAGTTTGAAATGATCATATTATTTGTATGTATTTCACACAGTGAAAACCTTCATGGTGGAGTTCACAATCTATATAATAGACGTAAAATTGTATATCACATGTGCATTCACATACTAATTGAGCATAAGTTTATGTTACAAGTAACTGTGAGTGAAACATTTTATTGTTAGATCCTGTTTATTTTAAGTTGATTGACCTTTCCATGAGCATCCTTAATTTTCAGCCAACATGCACACCTACAGGAAAAAACAGATGTTTTGTGGACAGCTGGTCACCATAGACCAGCTTTGTAAGAAAAGGTTACTAATCCAAATAGGAACATTATGGCTACGCTACTACCAATGTATTGTATTTTTAGTAGTGGGCAGGTGAAGTATCACTGAGATGGGAAAAACAATTTCTCATTTGTCTTTTACTCTGATATCATATGAGTGATTTATTCTTAACATTAATGAAACATATTTTCACTGTCATTACAACTTCTTGGTTAAGATATTCCACGAAATTAGAGGGAATGTTGCTCAGTGTTATTGCTCAGAGTGTGATGCTCTTAAGAGATTGATTTTCTTCAGGACATAATACTGACTTTGAGGTAATGCATTTGTTGGTTATCTATTCTGTAAGAAGTGTGAGGCAGCAGAAAACAAGGAGATACTTGCCTTGATTTCATTGCAATGACTATCCAACATATGTCCATACAGCTCTTGGAATTTTATTGACATGACATTCCAAATTTGGATCCATGGAACAGAAAGCTTTAGATATTCTTGAGGGAATCTTCATCAGAAAAGCTAGTTGGCTGTGTAATTTAGTGTGTGAAATCAACTTCAAGATTTTAATGTCATATTACTTGCTCTGAAGGTCCTGTTACTGCAATTGCTCTCTCATCTTTGCTTTTGAGGCCATTGCAAATGCTTTCTTCACTCTAATCTGACAGAAAACACAATTTCTTTTCCTCCTCCAAGGAGGACAAATCAGATGTTCCTCATCTTTCAGTTCTCTTAAGAGTTGAGCATCATGAATGGTGTGTCAGGGACTTTATGGAACATGGTTGTGGTAAAGCACTAATTACCAGTGGCAGCAATTATGAAGGCTGCTTTTGTGGATGACTTAACTTCTTTTGTATGTTGGCTTGACAATGACAATGGAATTGCAGTTTCCAGCTGTAAGATGAAGAATCTTTAAGACAAAAATAAAATGTTTCTTATGAGTATTTATCACTTATCGAGGTTAGCAAATAGAGCAAATGTGGCTTGGAGTAATTTTAGAGTGTATTTTAAATGCATAGAATTTTCAAGTGTTTTGGATGGTGATGATAGGTTTTAATCCACCTTAACCTGTGGCATCCAAGATGAGGCCATACAATAGGCCATACAGTATGTTCATGTACAGAGCTGCAAAGGCTTCCTGAATCACTGAGTCCTCCATCCTGTTACAGTAGCAACCGGTCCTGTAAGAAGCTGTTTTGTTGGTGGTACCTCAGATGTGTATGGAAATTGCTTTTTCATGCTACCAGGTCATTGCACTTCGTATGGTTTGCCTCTTCATATAATTGGTTTTCCTCTCAGAAGCATTCAGGTATTGCAGAAAAGGATTTCTGCCAAAACTGAAATGAGATTTCCTGTTTTGATGACCTAGGCACCATTGGAAATGTAGGAACGTCCTCCATGGAAGTAATTACTGTTACTAAAATTTTTGCAAGTCACTCATACTGCTAGACTCTGATGGATAACTTAAACACAGAAGGATGCCAGTTAAAAAGGAAAACTCGACAGTATTTTTGAACAAATATGTTATAGGTTCTTTCTGCAGCTTTCACACCTTTCAGTCAGATGGGGATACTTAACCACTTCTTAAATCTTTTCCTTAATGTAGTTAAAAACCTGCAGAAAATATTTTACTTGCTTTCCCATTTCTGACATTTAGTAATACATAATCTACTATTCAAAGACTGCATATAGGTGAGTGTGTACCCCATGCAGGATTTACTTTGCTTCTGTATTTTTCTCCCCAGTGTGTGGGTAGACAGTCTCACAACCATTCAAGTGAAGATGAATTCTGAATTTTAGTAAATATCTGATTGCTAATGAACTCAAACTGTAAACCAAAACTTTTGTTTTAAGGAATATATGGGAGTTCGTTCTTTATTTGGAAAGATGTGAGCCAAAGTTTTTTTGTTCTTAAATAGCATCTTAAAATTATGTAAGTAAAGCAAATGTATGAGATCAATTTACAGCTTCAAAGTATTCAATCCATTTTTAAGGTTTCTTACAGTAATAATCTTAGTCTACAGGCATTTTCTTTTGTTTTTAAAACTTTCTTTTTTCCTAAACAAATTTGAATATGATATTAGATGTAAATAATTGTGTGAGTTTACTAGCAGAAACTGTAAATGAGGTTAGAAGCTTGAAGTTTTTAAAGGCTTGACAGTTTCCATTTAAGTACATTTTTATCAGGAGCTCTGTCTTGAGACAAGATAGACTATAAGAGGTCATTGAAGGTAAGACATTAAATTGGTGTTTCACAAAGCTCAAGTTTTTGTTCCCTCATCCTTTGTTTGCATTTCCCTTTGCCCTCATTCCTTGTGTTACCTTGCCATTGCTACGCAGGGCTAGACCTCCTTCTTTGCCCTGTGCAACGCAGTTAGGTTTTGGTCCTGCAAAGATGTACATGTGACAAACCTTCCTGCTGTCAGTGTTAGTGTTAAGTATGTCTTTATGTTAACAGGATGAGGTTTAGATGACGCTCAGTCTAGAAAGCTGAAGAGAAAGACGTTCAATCACAGGAAATCTACAGATAGCTACACTGCTCCCCTTTTCTCTCAGGTCTTTCTGACTCTTCAAAGGCTCTCAAAACATTACTTAAATGGATCTCATTTTGACTCACATTCACTGCACAGCTTTGGGTTTTTTTTAGAATTTAGAGGAGAGAGAGGGAGTAATAAGGAACAAATTAAAAAAAAAAAAAAAAAAAAGAGGAAGGAGTTTATTTTGTGATAGCATTTTAGAAACTTAAAGTATGTAAATAAAGTACATAACAATTCTTCAGTAGCTGTAGATTTAATCACCCTGTCTTCATCTTCAGCTAGGAAGCTACACATCTGAGAACATGATTTACAATTTCTTTTTAATGATTCTCCAACATTACTGTGCCAGCCATTCTGGGAAGCCTGGAGCAGTACTATTTAGCCAAATGGCAGCTCCCATTTTGTAAGTTGGCCCTGATTAAGCCTCAGAGTCAGCTTGGTGTTGGTTTCTTTGCTGGGGGGTAACTAGGAGAAAGCATAATTAAATCCCAACACTTTATGTCTCCATTTACACTGAGAAAAAAAATTAAGTATTGCAAAACATACTAATCATAATGTTGAGTGTATATGTTCCATAGTTGAAGATATAGCACTCGTAAATCAATGAGGGGGAAAGAAACAGCTTGAAAGTGGTCTTAAGATTTGTCAGTATCAGTGTATCAAGCTTCAGTTTGCTGCGGTTGGCCTGTGTTACCACTGTGTGTTTTTTTATTTTCCTTCTTCAGTTTTACTTCATTTGTCTAGAAAGAGGGTTATTGTTCCATAATGAATAACGTGCTTTAGTTGCTCGCTCGGTTTAAGCCATCTTTGGATTTAGCTCTAAGAAAGGCTGATCATTCTCAGTATACATGGCAAGAAGGACCCTCTGTCATAACATGTACAATTACAGCAAATATTAATGTAAGGTCACTGATAAAAGGAGTTTGACTCAAGACAAGAGCAGACGAAAGATTAGCATCTAAGAAACACAGATCGAGGTTCGGAGAAATGAAAGATGAGTAACAAAAATGCAAGTGAGGGGCAACTGACAGGGATAAAGTATGGTTGCAGAGGACTTCTCCATATTATTTGGGATGTTCTGTGTGCTCACAGATTGTCTCCTGTCTGCTTAGTATAAACTGTAACAATATGAGAAATGTTTTCAACACACCTTAAAAATGAGAGGTTTCTCTCTGAGCTTGGGATGTAGTTTTTGTTGGGGGCTTTGCTTATTTTGAGTCAAAATTAAAGCCAGTTGTTTGCTGCCTCCATTGGAAATATGATAGAGATACAGCTAGTCCTCCATAGAATATTTACCTCTGGATGCCTCCAGAAGAGGGTCCTGCTTACAGTGCGAGAGATGAGCGAAGTATTGGCTTTCACTGACTGTATATTACTGTAAAACGGAACAAGTTATTTTAGCATACTGCTTATCATCAAACTAATCTTCCCTATCGTGCCCTCAGATTTATTGTTGCAACAAGCAGAATGGTCAAGGTAACATAAGGAATTGATTCGCTGTGTAATTTCCTGTGACAAACTGTACAGCATTTGGTTTTTATTGTTTTCGTTCTTGAAAGCAGCATCTTTTGATTTTTAGTGGCCCCTGCTGGCCGCTCCATGGCGTACGTTTTACTCGTGGAAAATTCATTTCTACTGCTTCCACAGTGTTTTCATTTCAGCAGCTGTGACCATACTGTTGCATTTTATTTTATTTGTGTGACGTCAAAGTGCACGCGTTGCTGTGAACATGAAGCATTTTTTATTAACCTCATTTACTTAACAACTTTTCCCAGAAGCCCTGAGATGCTGCGGTCAGAAGGTTCCTACTCCACGGGAGAAAGGCACTCTTCCACAGACTCCAACAAAGCTTCAAGCGGAGATGTCTCCCCATATGACAACAACTCCCCCGTACTGTCTGAGCGCTCGCTGATGGCAGCACAAGAAGAAGTTGCACACAGCCCAGATAAGCCGTACAGAGCACAGGAACAGTACGCACTGGGTGCTCATTTGCAGCCTAAAACAAAGGAGAATTCTTCTGCATCACAGGCTGGAAAAGGTATATCCTCCCCGTGTTCCTCATTCTAAGTGACTGACAGGGGTTTCTGATGTAGCTGAAAAGCGTCTGCTCTCTATTATCATCTGTCAGGACTTGAGTTTGTTGTAGTGTAAGAGCCCCACAGGTAATGACTGACCTTAGCTCAGCCAGCTGTCAGGGGTGGTTTTAGTGTGGCATTTGTCAAAACTTGGAGCTATTGTATAGGAAAAGGAACTCTTTACGTCCAGCTTTTCAACTTTTTTCTGAGCATTTCTAGTTATTTCTAGTTCTGTTTGCCAGGACTGTAATACCTGCAGTGCTATGCCCCAGCTTTTGGAAAAGTCTAAGATGTCAAGCTGTAAATTTTGTGCAATTGAAAAGAATGACTTCAACTGCTTTGCACTGGAGAACACAGCTGAGCTGCACAGCTTTATGTCTTTTACCAATAACACACCCAGCAGTACCAGCACGGGGATCCATTGTTTCCATACCTGTCTAGGGATTGCACACCTGAATTATTTCTTCTGTAAAGAACTCTTATTAAAGCTGATAGCTCACCAGCTCTGCCAGATACTTTTCATTTAAAAATGTCAAAAAATGTTAACAGTTACTTTCATGAAATATACGAATAGTGAGCCAAACTTAAAGGAATTTCAGTGTTTAGAGGTGCAGAGAGCTGTTTGGTAGTATTATTTTATTTCAGAAGTAGTGGTTAGGCAGTTAATTCCATATGGAATTAATGGCATTTAGACTACTGTCCCAGTGGTAAGCTTTGTAAATGCCATTGGGCATTTTTCTTCTGTGTTCAGCATCTAAATCTCTGAACTGGTTTCAAAACGTGGATAGATTCCTGCTAAGTTGTGAACAAGAAATGACACAAAGTTTCATCATATTAACCATTCTTTGGACTTTAACATGTATCACAATGATAGCAAACTGTAAAGAATTACAAAATTTCTTTCTGCCAGTTGGAATTAGAAAATGGTACAGAAAGATTAGAATTCAGAATGAGGCCTGGTATATGCCTTTTGTTAAATCTATTTTGTGACAGCACTTCCTTGCAGGAGCTTTGCCATTCTTTCCCTTTGGGAAGCACACGAACTAACTAACTTCTTTTGGCCTAATCATCCTGTTCTTATCCAAAGCCTCCATTCTTCAATAAAGCAGAGGACAAACAAAAGTTCATTCTATCAGCAAATTTAGGTGTTCCACTCATACAGAGTTCACTAAATTCATTCTCAGGATCTGAGCTTGAAACAGTGAGTAGGTGCATACACTTGGTCTGTTGGTGCTAGTGCACAGTGAGCCCAATGCTAGCAGACGTTGATAACTCTGATATATACAACTTTGCATAAAGGTTTATGCAAATTTAATTTACTGCTCCATTTACATATTTCTAAATAATGATTTAATGAATTCATCCTTTTCTTCTTACTCTTCTTGCTATTTAGATGTCTCAGAAGATCATTTTGATATCTGGGGAACCTGGCATTCAACGCTGAAAAGTGGCTGCAAAGACACAGGCATTGCAGGTCAGAACTTTCTCAGAACTTTTAAGCCCAAAGCTAACAAAGGCAGAAGCACTTTCTGGGTTTTGAGAAATCACAGTGAAATTAGTAGGACAGCTCATGTTGCCAAGAGTTAAATGTGTATGTAAACCACTGGCTTTTAAAAGTTTGCTGTTCAATCAAATGAAGAAAAGCACAAGGGTTTTACAAATGTGGCAGCATTTTGAATTATTAGAAGACAATTTTAAAAATCATTTTCAAGTTACTTCAAAAACAATTTTGAATAGTTCTGAAACTCACTGTGGAAGGTGAACACAGTGGGCACTTTTAAGTGTCTGCAGAAGTGGCATGAGCACAGCCCGTGAAGCTGCAGCTCTGGACTCTGGTCCTGCTGGTGGCCCGCATGGTCTTGACAAGTCACTGCCCTGTTGTGCCTATGGTATTCCTCCCATCTGCACCTGCTCCACAGAGGAGCCATCCAAGGAAACTGCACAGCCTCTGGGCAGCCTGAGCCACTGCTCCATCACCTCCATCACCTACCCAGCACAGAAGTATTTCCTGGTGTTCAGAAGGAACCTCTGTGTTCTAGTTTTTGCCCATTGCCTCCCTTCCTGGCACTGGTCAGAGCCTGGCTCCATCCTCAGTCTGATAGCCTGAAAAATAAATGCAAGGCTCTTGCTCCGTGTCCGCAGGTTCAGGCAGTGGTGGGGCTGTTAAGCCTTTAATTGCATAGCCTGCAGATAAAAATCCCTCTCTCTCTTTGTGATATGATACAAGGAAAAAGCAGTGACTTGTAGAATGCCGTGTAAATGACTGCAGACTGACATCTTTCTTACTTTGTCCCCCAGGTTCGTACGGAAACATTTACGAAAGCAGCTTGCTGCGGCCTGGACAGTGCTCTCTTTCACAAGGGAACCTCTCCATATATTCTCCTCGGTGGCAGGGCAGCTCCTCCGAACTGGATCATGGCAGGCAAGTCATGCGCAGGAGTCAGACAACTGCCGCCATTCCCGAGTGCCAGCTCCAGCCTGCCATGTCTCGGGTGTGCAGTAACCCGCACATCGAAGCCGGAGGAAGGTGTTTGGACCAGTCACGCTCCAAGTCGGAGCGGCACTTGACTTTAAGCAGTGTGGAGGACCTCAGTGAGCATGACTCGCACGCGGGTTGCTCGCAGAGCACGGCTAAGCCCTCCTACAGCAAAGAGAGGCCACCCCCTCCGTACCCTGGGCAGCCCAAAGCAAGCTCTGCGTTGTCGCAGCGATCGAGCGTTTCTTCAACGTTGCACTCTTTGTGGAGACTTCAGCGCCATGACAAAAGTGCAGGGACCAGAGCAGCTGGAGGGCCTGTGGCCAAAGCCCCCGAGCAGGCCGTCTCCAAGCAGGAGCGCCCGGCCCCGCACAACCAAGCAGGTCACATCTATTCGACGGCGGCTCGCAGTCAGAACAGTAAAAATGTTTCAGAGCCAGACTGGCACGACTGGCAAAGAGAGAGGTGGCAAATTTGGGAGCTTTTATCAGCTGATAACCCTGATGCCCTCCCAGAGACCCTTGTATGATCGGACTCCACGGAACTGCCGCTCGCACCTATGCTCCCTCTCATAGGAAAACAATGATGATATTGGAAAACTGGGGGGTGCTTGTTCGTTTTCTACCGAATAAGTTACATATAATTTTTTAAAATCTCGTTCACTTTAATTTCCTAACAGCACTGGCAAGCAGTCTATTTACAAATACAGTATGTTCCTGTTTTTCAGCAAGCTTGTGAGAAAAGAAGAAGATGGAAATGTTAGTCCGATAACCCTGTATGCATACATATGCTGTTTATAAGATAAAACTGTTGCTTTGATGTGGCTAAAATGTATTTATATATCTGCAGTTTGATGATTGTATATTCTGTAATGGGTATTGTATAATAATCATATATTATGTTTTCATATACAGATGTCAATCGACCGTGACTGCTTTTATAAAAATCACTGCACTTACGTTACCGTCATACGCATTGGAGTTCTATAGGAAGTGCACAAGCTGGTTTCTGTGCTTGGGAAAAAAACCTAAAGGGGAACGTTGTCCTTCTTTTCACTGCCTATTGAAAAACACTAGAATAGAGTGGAACATGAAAAGCCATATATTTTATAAGGGTAGTAGTGACTGGGAGGAGGGAAATACCAAATATTTTTTTTCTTACAAATATATTTGCAAACAAAATTAAAATTTGATACAAGGTAAGTGTTAAAAATACTTTTTTTTAGATTCTTGGAGGAAGTGGTTTGGGGAATCAAATAAGAACAAGGCCGTGCCTAAACCAATGAAAGATGTAGCGCAAAGGTCTGCCCTACCTGTCTAGAGGAAAAACAATGTTATGTATACAGGATATAATATATATATTTATAAATGTATGACTTTATATATTGTTCTAAAACAATGAACTGGAATCAAAATTTTAGAAAACCAATCCCAATAAGCTGAGTTGTGTAACAGTAGAGAAAGAATATGGCTTTTCCTTTAAAATAACAAGGCTTCATTGTGAGGAAAGTTAGACAAAGCAGAAATAGAGATGGAGATATTTGCAAAAGGGGTCACACTAAATTTTGGAAGTGAATGTGAGAAGTTCACAGCTGTGTTTCTATAAATATTGTGCCAAAGCGTGGGTCATTAGTATTTTTTCGATAACTGTATGTTGCGTTGTCAAATGTCAATGTTTTCAAATTGCAAAAGCATTTCTGGCCAGCAGGTGGCAATGTACTTCAGTATTCTAGAGGAAATTCTATTATCACTTGATAAGGGAAAGTGTATCATATCAAAAGAATTTTATAAAACTTATTAGTCTTAATGACGTTGAAGACGTATTCAGTGATGTTGTCTTTAAGTTCTATCTTGTGCCATAACGATGGAATAAAAGGCTGAACAAAACAATGAGCATATTTTTGCTCTTTCCTTTTTTGTTTTGAAGTAAAGTTTGTGTAAAAATTGATGTGTTTTTATTGTATTCCAGAGTGTCTCTGCCAAAAACATCTAAAAGGCTAAGGGCACTTAAAGATCACTTTCATTAATGACTTAAATATATGAGATCCCAGGTTTTACCTATGTTCTAGGCTTAAACTCCATCCTACAGGGAGCCTACCCGTTGCCATATTCCCAAGTGAAGTGATAACGGCACCAATCCAGGTATAAAGGGGAGGATTTTGCCTCTGGCTGTCACTGTGCTGTCTGACTGGCTGACTCTTTTATAGGAATATGGAATAGTGTTCAGAATATATCTCAGCTCTGTCCCTTGATGCTAGAGTTGATAGGAAAAGAGTCTTGTGTGTAGCTTGTTGCAGCACCTCTATGACAATTTATTACCAAAAGAAAAAAAAAGGAAAAATAGAGTAAGTTTAAAAGATAAGTAGTGGAATACAAGCAAGGACAATAAAAGAGTTCTCACAAGCAATTGTCATCATTTGATCTTGCCTCAGTATTGTCCCAGGTTTGATGCATACTTGCTACAGAGAATTAATGCTCCCTAGCAGTTCTAAAAAACAGGCATTGTGCAAACCCTGCTGTAGAAGATGCACTTCATTTTAATTCCCTTTCTACATATAGCAGCATCTGCACATTTCTATCACTTTTAGCAAGTTGTCTAATGGCTACCTAGCTTCATAAAAAGATTCCTATTTGCCAGTGCCTCTATGTAGATGTGTACATAGGTATATATTAGCATCTATTTGGTATATATGCAAAAACGGGGAAAAAAAAGCAAACCACTGCCGAAGGACAATGCGTCTGCCCACATTTCAGTATACAATTGCATGGAAGAAATCATACAGAATAAATTCTGATGATTTAAAAATAACTCTGACTCAGAATGAATCATTTCTGTCTGCTATTTTCACTTGAACACTACAGAGTAAAATATCACAAGCAAGTTAAGGATGCAGTGGTTTTAATTTGTACCTGTTATGTAGATAGGTAAGATCTAACACTTCTCTGTTTCAACAGTAAGTTTATTCTGGTTGCCTTCATTTCAGTGGATTTGGGGAAGTTAACAGTTTGCTATGTGTGTGTAAGGAATAGGGCTGGGACAGAGCAAAAGCCCCTTCCTTCACTTTAGCTGGAAGTTGAAAAATTGTTAGACTTGGGCAAAATACTTTGACAAGAAAATAACATTTGAAAAGTCTATTGAATGATGTGGCAGATGTGCAGTGCTCTCCTTCACCTCCAAGTCCTCCTGCTCCCCAAAATACTAAAGATCAAAACAAAGGGGAAAAAAAAAAACAAAACAGCAGTTAACTGTTTGAAACATTCTGAGAAGAAAACCTTTATTGTAACTTTTAGCATCTGAAACATAGGAGGAATAGATAGATGTGGAAAACAGAACTAAGTAACTGAATTACGGGGGTGATTTGTAAGGCCCTCTCTCTATTAGATGGTCCAGAAACTACTGGAGTGTTTGAGTCTGAAGTGAAAGGATTCTTACTGCCACAGTGTAAGAAAGGGAAAGTGTAAAGTTTGTAATGAAGAGCCCCCACTACAAGAGTGCTGCTGGACCCAGTCCCTCTTGAAAGTTCATGCTCTGTGTACATGTCTGTATCAGTGTTGGTGTCTTCAGCTACAGAAAGATAACCAAGGTGGTAGGAAGGCAAAGCAATGAAAACTTGAGTAACCTGGAAGCTCAGGCTTTTATTTTGGGTGATACAACATCAGCAAGGGAAGCCTGCTGAGGACTTGGATACTTTTCATTCCAGGATGAAATCAGTGATGGGATTTATTTTGATGTCTGTCTTGAACTTCAAAAGAGGATTACATGGCTGTGAAGCGTTACTTCCAGTTTAGAGGGGTTGCTCCTCTCTTCCATTGTAGGAACGAGAAAATGAGAGCAATCAGTGCAGCTCTAGATACAAAGCAAATGTGGTGGGAATCCTCTGAGCCAAGGAAAAATGAAAAAATTAGAATAGTATTTTACTTCTGCTTCTATTCCTGAAAACAAGATGGGACCAAGACTGTGCTCTGCTGCTGGGGGAAAAGTTGTATCTTCCTCCCCAACCCTTCCCTCCCTCCCATCAGCTTCTGGAGTTGTGGCAGGAATCCCAGGGCTTGTTGCTGCAGCTGAAAATTGCTCTGTACAACATGGAGATAAAATTCAGGTAGCTCAGTGACTTTCACAAGTGGTGGGCACAGAAGGAAAGGTCAGAGATGATTGAGGAGGAAGGATGAAACTGACTGTCCCCTCTAGCAGCAGCCTTCTGTTAGCCTGTTTAAATAACTGATGAAAGCACAGAGCTTGTCACTTACATTTGTAGGCAACAGCCTGGCCAGGCACTTGAGAGTGTTACAAACCTACACAAACTCAACTACTGGCATGGATGCCTGAAAAATCTCAACTGCCCTGTTGTGTACATCAGGAGCACAGGATGTTAACGTATCCGTTTAATGTCACTTAAAACTTCTGTGCAATTTACCTGACGTGGAAAAATGGGCTAACATTTCTTGTTGCATCTTCTATTTTCCCACCCCAACCCCCCAGCGCACAGTGGTGGTGTTGTTTCACAAGAAGCAGGATGTAGCAGAAATACAAAGTGATGGCTTGAAACAGTGATTGCACACTTGGTGGGAAGGCAAAGACAACCCAGGGGAGCTCAGGTGCATGCAATGCACCTGAGTGACCAGAAGGGGTGGAGCCAGGATCCTCCCCTTCCCAGACCTCATAAGGGTTGACAGTGGAGGCAAAGTTTTCTTGCTGGAGATCCCTGCATACCTGAGGCCTCTTAAGGGTAAGCAATATTTTTGCTTTGTTTCTGTGTTTATGCCTATTGTATTTGGGTTTATTCTCACTTACTGTAGCATAGGACTTTGCTGCCTTGCTGTTTCTTGTGCTTTCCATCACGTTATAGCATTACATGGGATCAAAATCTTCAATTCTAGCCTTCCTAGAGATCACTATCTTATGTGGTGCTGGTAGTGTGGTGGAGGGTCAGGAACTTCTTTCTTCTCTCAGAAACATACAGGGCATGAGTGTCCCTGTACTCTCTCTGCCTCTTGTTCTTCTTTTCCTTTGAATTAATTCTCAAAACAAGAAAAGAGTGTCATCATTGTATGATGCTGTAGCCTCACAGATCCGCAAAGCAATGGTGATGTTGTATTAAAGGGAATCTTGACATCAGCATGCCCTTTTACGACACCATTGAGAACAGAAAATATTGTTGTGCTACAGTTGCTTTAGGGGAAGGTATTTGGGTGTCCAGATAGTACTGCAGGGACCTCAGAGCTATTCAGGGCTGGTAGAGTGCTTGGTTACAAGACGGGCATCTCTGAGAGTAGTGTTCATACGACTTTTCTGAAGTTTAAAGCAACCCTAGAGGTGATCAGGACAAGTTTCTCCTAGGCTCTCTTTCTATTCAGTGTAGAGAGAGAGAGGTATTTCTGTTTCATTATCTATACAGTTTCCTTGAACCTTTCTTTGCAGCATGTTTTGAAGGGCTTGTTGCCATTTCTTTCCACAGACCTGTTATTAATAGTTCAGCCAATGTAGAAATGAATAGGGTATTTATAAAAGCTAACAAGCTGGACACTTCAGCAACACAGGAGTGAAGATGTTAACTCATGCTGAATCCCAAGTGGCAGAGACAAAAGGAGAACAGCAGATAAAAATCTTCCTTGAAAAAGACAGGTTTTAATCCTCCCTCTATCTGTTGCTGAGTAATGTTCGAGCTGCTGGACTTCTGGTGTCACAGAGGTGAAAAGGGAGAAGTGTCTATAACTACTTCTGTCCACAGTTGCATTTGGGAGGAAGAAGAAGAGCATGTCAAAGCAGCTGAGCAGTGCTGCCAGCTGGATGGTTACTACACGCCATGAGTGAGGAGCTGAGCCCTGACCTCTGGACCATCTCCTAATTATTATTTTGAAATAAAACAATGTGTTTTTTTGTTTGTTTTTTTTTTTTTTAAACAATGCCTTTGTTAAACAAGGGAGGTGCCACAAATCACCCTTATCTTTTGATGGGAATCTTTATTTTCTATTTTCCCCCTAGTGCGTATCCAACACACAGGGGTTTCACACACATGCTGAGGAGAGAAAAGCACTGGTAGACATGCCTGTGGTCACTGGACTGGGGAGCACAGGCATGACCTTTTCTTGGTGTAAGAGATTATTCTGTTAACTTCTGTGTCTCAAAGCTTGCTGGGGACACAGATGGACTTGTTCAAGTCCCGAGCAACGATTGTGAAATCCTTTGTCTGAAGGACACAGATGAACAAGGCCAGGCAATTCCTGGGCAAAGATTGTGAGATCCTTTGTCTGGGGGACGCAGATGGGCAAGGCCAGGGGCAACGAGAGCGAGATGAGCTGCAGCTAAAAGGCTGAGAAGTGCTCCTTTGTGTGGACCTATCTCAGGATGATGGTCTCAGGGGGTACTCAATGACTCTTGCTCAAGGCCCATCCTTGTCACGTAGGCAGGAGAACAAGGAGGATAAAAGAGGAACTGAAAACCATGAGGATGGGTTTCTGACAATTCAGATTCCTCACAAAGAACGGAGGTTTCTGACAACAGATTCCTCATGAAGAAGAAGAGGGATTCCTGACGATTGAGGTGACTCCTGCATACTGTCGAACTCTCCTGAGCCTGCTGCCTGACCGCTGTTGCTGCTTCAAGGATTGGCTCCTCAACTTCTTCGCCTACCTGCCTGCTGCCCAACGCCGGCCACGCTGCTTCTCGCCCCCTCCCCTGCTGCATCTGCCTGGGACCTTCAAACGCCGTGCAACGGGACCGCTGCTGGATCCTGCTGGTGACTCTCCCCGCTTTACGCAACTCCTGCTTCTTTTCCATCTTTTCTATCGCCCTCATTCCCTTCCCCGTCTCCCTGATAAGGTTTGGCAATAAACTGGATGCAACAACATATGAACCGTTGTTTCTTAATCTCACGCCGGGTATACAGATATTAAAAGAACCTCATCTCCCTCCTATGAATTGGAGCAAGACAAGCTTCCTCAGACTTTCCTCGTTAGGGAGATGCTCCGGTCCCTTCAACATCTTTGTGGCTCTGTGCTGGACTCTCTCAAGCAGTTCCCTGTCCTTCTTGAACAGAGGGGCCCAGAACTGGACACAGTACTCCAGATGCGGTCTCACCAGGGCAGAGTAGAGAAGCAGGATAACCTCTTTTGACCTCCTAACCATGCCCCTTCTACTATGTCCCAGGGTGCCATTGGCCTTCTTGGCCACAAGGGCAGAGTGCTGGCTCATGGTCACCCTGCTGTCCACCTACAGGTCCCTTTCCCCTACGCGGCTCTCCAACAGGTCAGTCCCTAACCTATGCTGGTATGTGGGGTCGTTCTTGCCCAGATACAAGTCCCTATGCTTGCCCTTGTTATATTTCATTAAAGTTCTCCCCGTCCAACTCTCCGCCTGTCTAGGTCTCGCTGGGTGGCAGCACAGCCTTCAGGCATGTCAGCCACTCCTCCCAGTTCTGTGGCATCAGCAAGCCTGCTCACAGTGCGCTTTACGGCCTCATCCAAGACATTGATGAGTATGTTGAATAGTACGGGTCCCAGTACTGACCTTTGAGGGACTCCTCAAGATACAGACCTTCAACTTGACTCACTCTGTTCCACTGACCACAACTCTCTGGCTTGTTTCCTTCAGCTGGTTCAAGTCCACGTCACTACTCAGTTGTCAAGACCACGCTTCCTCAGTTTAGCATTTAGTATTTATCATGAGTATTGTAGTGCCTTATTAGCTCACTCTGTGTGTATATCTGTGATACAGGAGCACTTTGGTCTTACATGGTCTTTCTTGGACTCCTTATTTTACCGTAGAGTTTCTGAGTTCTGCTAGGCCCTGGCTTTGGCCTTGCAAGTAGC